TTGAGTATTCCTGGTGTTCCGGTCCCTCGCGCCTCCCGCCCCATGAGGCGGAGGCACCAGTTCTGCCTGGTCTGCCTCCAGCGTCTCGGGGACCGGGGTCGTGCAGACGCTTCCAGGCGCCCGGCGTGGAAGCGCTCTGTCTGCTCTTCCCTCTCTGTGCTTCCTAAGCGCTAGGCCGCCCACCGGGTCGGGTTAGGGTTCTCTTTCGGAGGAGACCCAGCCTCTGACTTCGGGCTCGGGCACCGAGTCGATGGAGCTTGGGGAGGTAGAGGAGCATGACGGAGGTTTCCGTTTTGCTTCGGCTCTGCGGGAGGTCCGGCAAAGAATTGCCGAGGGCCTACCCCAAGCCGCGGTGCCTGTTGGCCGCGCGGACTCGGCTGAGTTCCGCTTGCCAGGCGAGGCGTTTGCCCCTCGGCAGCCCTCGCAGACGCAGCTCCGCATTCTGCCTTCGTTGGTTCAGGACGTGGTCGAGCCCCTCTTGTCTGGTACCCGTGTTCGGTTCGACTTACCGGATTTAGTACGGAGGTACCAACTTGGGGATGACTCCCTGTTCGTTGTTCCCATCGTTGACGAGTGCGTGTTCACTTCCGTCGCCCTGGGGAGGCTCGGCTTCCTCGGAGCAGCTCGCTGCTCGGCAAGGGCGCCCTCACTCCACCGTTAAGCCCTGCAGCGCTCCCCTGCGGCACGCGTACCGGACCTACGAGGAGGTCTACCGGAACGCGATGCAGCAGGTCAGGGTGGTGGTCCATGAGGCCTCTCCTCGATACAGAGGTCGGCCCTGGAGGCGGAGGGGCATGCTGGCGACATTTCGCCTTCCGGAAGTTCAGGCACACCTCGCGAGCGACTCTTTGCGGTCTGCTGCGTCGACGGTGATGTGCGCAGTCATGGGGATGCGCAGGCTGTGGCTGTCGACGTCTCGGTACTCGGCAGCGACGCAGCAGACCTTGCTGGCCCTCCCTTTCCGTCTGGGAGCGACCCTCTTTCCAGGGGCCCAGCAGGTCATACGGGAGGCTGCCGCTGCAGCTACCTCCTTCAAGGATTCTAAGGCCTTGTTGGAGCACCCGCGGGTGTCTCGCCCACGCGCTCCCGTTCCACCTTCCTCCGCCGGGGTGCAGCCTACACCCGAGTCTGCCAGCTGGCTTCGGCCGCTTGGTAGGGGTAGGAGCAGGTCCGCCAAGGGTAGGGGCAAGGAGCAGTCCTCGACTAGCTCCCAGCCTTTTCGCGGGCGCGGGAGGTCTGCCCCGACCTCCCGTTAACCCATCAGGCTGCAGCTCAAGCCGTGTGTCATTTACCACTGTGGAAGCGAGGTCCGCCCTACTTCACCGGCATACGCCGCACTCCGGTGCCGTCATGTCAGGCAAGGGCGGACATATTGCGCGACGAAGTTCAGGCTCTGCTGGACAAGTCCGCAATCGAGCACATTCCACCGGGAGAGGAACAGGCGGGATTTTACTTCACGTACTTCCTCGTCCAGAAGAAAGACGGCGGGTTCCGTCCGATTCTCAACCTCAAGGGGTTGAATCGCATGCTAGAAGTACCATCCTTCAAGATGGAGACACTGCGCTCGGTGATCTCATCTGTTCAGCCTGGCGATTGGCTCACGCCAATCGACCTAAAGGATCGCGTATCTGCATGTGCCCATACATCCATCGTTCAAGCAGTACCTTCGGTTCTCTTACGACGGGATGTGTTACCAATTCAGGGTGCTCCCCTTCGGCATATCGACTGCCCCAAGGGTGTTCACCAAGCTCATGTTAGTCCCAGCTACCCTCGCTCGCTCGCAAGGAAGGCGTTGTTACCCTTACCTCGACGACTGGTTGCTCGGAGCACTAACACAGCCAGCGAGTCTAGATGCTACTCACACAGTGATAGACATTCTAACTCGACTAAGTTGGATAATCAACCTCAAGAAATCCAACCTGGTACCCACCCAGGACTTGGTTTTTCTTGGAGCTCGATTCCAAACGAACAAGGATCTCATTTCCTTGTCGCCCGACCGGATCACCAGAGTTCGGGAGATGGTATCTTCGTTCCTCTCCCAGCCCCAGGCACCAGCACGGACTTGGCTCCGTCTACTGGGCCATATGGCGGCGACGATCTCTGTAGTGTGGCGGGCGCGGTTGAGGATGCGTCCTATACAGCAAGCTTTGGCTCGGCTGTGGACTCACACGGAGGATCTGGAGCGCAGTCTCACAGTCCCCGAGTGGTTGACACCTCACCTTCAGTGGTGGACAAATGTCGGGAATCTCACCAGGGGGATCCCCTTGGAAATCCCGACGCCAGCTCTCACAGTTCAGACCGATCGTCCCTCACGGGCTGGGGGTGTTCTGGGCAGTCTGTCGGCGTCCGGACTCTGGTCTGGTCGCCGAAGCCCACCTTCACATCAGCGTGTTGGAACTGAGAGCTGTGCAGTTGGTATTCGGCTTCAGAGAGCATGTCCGTGGCCAGGTAGTCCGTCTTCAGTTGGACAACCAGGCGGCCATGTCGTACATCCTGAAGCAGGGAGGCCGGTGTCCCCAGCGCTCCTCCGGAGGCGTGGGACTTTCTCCTCTGGTGCGATCAAGTACGACTGTCAGGTACTCCTGTTTATCTCCGGGGCTGGAGAACGTCGCGAGCAGATCGCAGCTCTCGCCGGATCCTGGCCCCGCGCGAGTGGATGCTCGACAGGCAGATTTTCAGAGTAATCTCCCCAGTTGTGCGGGTCGTTCCAGGTGGATCTGTTTCGTCCGTCCGGCGGGGCGCATCAGACACCCGATGTTCTGCTCTCGGATACGGACCCAGGGCGTTGGCTGCCAACGCCTTCCTGCTGGATTGGACGGGCAAAGTGCTCTGGGTGTTCCGCCGTTACCACTCATTCCCGTGTCCTTTCACAGCTGTCCACCCAGCCAGCTCGGCTACTTGTGCTACTGGCACCGCTTTGGCGTCCACAGAGCTGGTTTCCGGTAATTCTCAGGTTTCTGGCTCAGCCTCCTGTTCTATTACCTTTACTGACCGGACATTCTCACTCAGAGCGGGCCCACCCAAATCCACGGATTCAGTGGGTGGCTTGGCCTCTGTCAGGTCTAACCTCGAGGCACGCTTGGAATTCCTGCAGCAGTTGCAGACACAATTCTGGCTTCGGTGGGATTCGACAAGCGTTCAGTACGAGGATAGGTGGTCCTGCTATGCGCTGGTGTTCAGATAGGGGCATTGCAGATCCCTTTTCTCGCGGATTTAGTCCGGTATTGGAGTTTTTGCAAGCTCGTTTGGAAGAAGGCCTGGTGGCTTCGACCATTCGTGGCTACTCCACCGCTATTTCCACTTTTCACACCCCTGTCGATGGTGCTCTTCTGGGGCAGCACCCTCTCGTTACAAGCAGCTTTCTTGCTGGCCCGGAGCGGATTCGACCTGCGCGCCAGGCGAACCAGTCCACCTTGGGATTTGTCAATTGTGCTAGATTGGCTGTCGGTCCAACTTTCTCACACCTATCGGCTATTTCCATTCAGTTGTTAACTTGGAAAGCTGTTTTCTGGTGGCGGTAACATCTGGACGTAGGGTCGGCGATTTACATGCTATGTCGTCCGACCCGGCGCTGACTGTGTTTCACACGGATCGTGTCAGTATTCGCCTCCCAGATACTTACCGACCGAAGGTCGATCACGCTTTCCATGTGACAGCTCCTATCGAACTTCCTACTCTTACCCAGCCTTCCACATCGGGGACCACTCCCCGTTGGATGTCCGTAAGACGCTCAAAGTCTATATCAAACGAACGCAGGGAATCCGTACGGGTACCCAGATGTTCTGTTGTTACAGTGGCGGGAAGGCTGGTGTGCCAGCGAGCAAGCAGACTTTGTCTCGCTGGCTAGTTTCGTGTATTTGTGCCGCTTATCAGGCTAAGGGCAAGCCTCCCCCTGAGGGGTTGAAGGCTCACTCGGTCAGGGTAGTAGCCGCATCAAAAGCTTTTGCATCGGCACTCCCCATTGAAGAGATCTGCTCTGCGCTATTTGGAGCCGGCCAAGCCGCGTTTATCTACGGCACTATCAGCTCGATACACATTCCCGTAATCGATGCGAGCTTTGGCCGTCTGGTTCTCTCCAGTGGACAGTGTCCTGCCACCCTGACCGAGTGAGTCTTGGTTTATTGGTTTGTTTTTGACGCTGCTGTACAATAATTGCGTATTATTGACATATCTGCTACTGTGAGCTAACTACATGTACCCCTTCGATTCTCTCAGGAGTTATTTGTCGAATGTGGCGGTATTTACATTCCCCACGGTGCTCACTAATAGAAACATGGTGGGTGGGGCTTTGTTGACATTCGCACCCACGTCGTTGTCTCACTATGCTAAATGGAGGTCATCTTTGAGTACACTTCCTCCCTGTCAGTTCCCCTCCCATAATGCCTCTCGCGGGCGCAACTGGGACAAGTGACAGGTGAGTGTTTATGGCGTCTGTTCAAATTTTTTTTTTCCATGATACGATCGCTATATTTGTGTGTGCTTGGACAGAATTCCCTCCTCCCTGGCCTCCGGTCTTTGGGAGTCTGTGTTTATGCTTAATATGTACCCCAAGGACGATCTCTCTGAAAAGAATTAACCAAACCTGAAGAGGTTTTCAATTCTTTGAAGAGTCGTCCTTGGGTAGGGCCTCCTGCCTCCCAATTCTGTTCACTGATATATTCAGCAGAAGGAATGATGATACGGGTCTAGGAGCCTACCCAGTTGGTGCGCATGCGGAACGGGAGGTAACTCCGTGAGGTAGGGGCCGTATAATAAATAAAAGAGTTTATTTATTGTTCAATCTTTTTATTCAAAAAACATTGATACAACTGTCACAGGACATTTTTCAGCCGGAAAATGCATAATATGTACCCCAAGGACGACTCTCTTCAAAGAATTGAAAACCTCTTCAGGTTTGGTTAAATTTATATCACCTCGAAAGCTCTGGGGGTCTCAAACCTCGAAATTTTAGTACCTTGAAAATTTCCCGGTATACGGTATTAAGATGTTTGTACTCCCAGGTTCCCCCACCCTGTGACACTGGCGGGGATGTTGGAGATGGGGACGTCGTACCTGCCGGTTAACACGAACTGGGAAAGATACATACAACAGTCGAACACCACGTACTCCGAGATGCAGCGTGAGCTGAAGAACCTACTGATGTCCCTGGCCAATGATGCCTGTGCCCTTTTGGAGAATGATGGGTGAGAATATGTTGCACTCGGGACCAGGCTCAATCTGGTTCACACATCTATACTATTCAAAAGAAATTAAGGAACACCCAATAGATGGTGTGTAGTGCTTATCCAGCCTTTCAGTTTTGGGTATTCTTTAACTTGTTTTGGGTAAAATATAACATTATCTGCACTTTACAATCTGCCTTGGCATGGTTGTTATATTGTTGACCACATCTCCCTTTATTCACCACCAGGGAGTGAGAAAGTGAGTTTTATGCCGCTTTTAGCAATATTCCAGCAATATCACGGCAGGGGACACCAGAAACTGGCTTCGCACGTTGTACCCATGGTGGGAATCAAAACTGGGTCTTCAGCATGACAAGTGAACGCCTTACCATATTTTGTATTGAGATTGAGTGTATTTTTGCATTCCCAGTTACAAGGACGACCCGTGGCTGTGGGACTTGGACTGGAGTGTCAGGGACTACAAGCTGAAGAAACTAGCTACCAAGTCTAAACACAAGGATCTGCTTGAAGAGACTTCAGATAACCCAGAGGAAGATGCACCTTTCAAGAATCCAAATGGAATCGACATGTTGACAGCAAAAGATTGTATTATTCAGGTACCTTTCTGCAGTGTCTCTTTAGAATAACTCTAGAGTCATAATATCATGGCTTGTTGAGGTCATACTGTGGTGATTAGATGTCACGTATGATTGTGTAGGACCATATATGCACTCAAAGAGAAATTTGTGCTTGAGTGCACATGCGTATGTTTAACATGGATACCCAACTAACTAATAAGTGTGGTTTTACGCTGCTTTTAGCAATATTCCAACAATATCACTGGCTTGTATCTTGATCTCCTGGGACGACATTACGATTCTGTGTTGTGATAAACCATATGCCCAGAAGATGCAGATCTTGTTTTGGTTCCAACTCTGACTTCATAAGGTTCACCAGCCATCCTAGTTGAGTGAGCAACTTGATCGTGAAGTTCAGCTGTATTCTGAGTAGACTGGCATCTTGGTGAACCTGAATGCCGTCGTCCAAGTAGAAGGCATTGCGTAGACCTTGATGATGTAGATATGTGACTATAGGCTTGGTTATGCGTGAGAATAGCCACTGGGCCGAAGATATTCCAAACGGTAGGACGTTCCACTGGAAGTGCTGCCCTCTGAATAGGAATCGCAGATACTTTCTTGATTCCGGATGTATGGGGATGTGTAGATTCGCATCTTGCAGGTCTATGCTGGCCATGTAATCTGCTGGACGGACGAGTAGTCTGAGTTGAGGTAGGTGGATCATTCTGAACCTCTCTGGTTTCAGTAGATAGTCTTATTTGAATTACGCATGTTGTAAATCAGTGTGAACTTCTCCTTGGAGTTTTTCTTGGGTACTATGAAAATTGGGGAGTAGAAGCCTGGAGTGAGATGATGCTGATCTATTATCTCTACCGCCTCCTTCATAAGTAGTGAGTTGATGGCTTCTTGTAGTTTGTCTGCCTGCTCCCCTGCATAGTCGAAGACCATCGGGCTGAGAGTTGGCGGAGGTGTGGCCTTGAGTTGTATCCGTAGTACTTGGGAGACGTAGTCGTCCTCTTGTATTCCCAAATGTTTCCAGTACCTTTGTAGACGTCCACCCACTGTCGATGGTTTTACAGGAACGGCTGGGGGTGAAGCTGGAGTACTTCTTCTCCTTTGCCTTCTGTATGTCGGAATATTTGGACTTGCTGTTATACTTTTGCGAAGTATGACGAATGACTTTGGCCAGAGTATCTATGGATTTTATCATCATAACTTCTCTAGAGTCGTGCGTGGCTTCCTTAGCTGCATCGTCTATTTGTCCTCCAAAGATAGTAGGCGCCTCCCATGGAGCTCTAAGTAGTGGCTGGGTGAATCTGTCACTCCATGAACAGGATGCAAGTACCCCTTGTCTGTGTAGTAAAGTGAGACCTGCAGATATAGATGCCACATGGTCCGATAAAAAGTATTGGTCCTTCTTCTGAGTTATGAGCGTCGAATATATCATTCTGTCCTCTTCCGAACTTGAGTTCTGGAATTTCTTGGATATAGGTTCAATCGGAGGGATAGTGACCAAGTCAAAGTCGTCATCACGCATCAAGTAAGTGTAGACTTCATCTTTATCCTTAGAAGGAGACTCAAAGTTCAACCCGTTGGCAATACAAGCTGTAACCTCTGGGTCAGGGAAGACGAAGTCTGCTTGCTCATTAAGTATCTCCTGATTAGTAGAGCTAGACCTCCACGGATCATCTATCTGCAAACCTGTATCCCTTCGCGAAAGTCTATCTTGAGAGTCCTCTCTTCGCGAACCTCTATCTGTAGATTTATCTCTTCGCGAACCTCTGTGATGTGAGCCTTCTCTTTGCGAACGTCTGTCGCTAGATGTATCCCTTCGCGAACCTCTGTGATGTGAGCCTTCTCTTCGCGAACCCCTGTCTCGTGATGAGTGACTTCGCGAATGTCTGTGAGAGATATGAGATCTCGATCTAGAGCAGCTAGGTGTAGGAGATGGATCCTTCGATGTTGTCGAATGTTGAGGGTTCACAGATGTAGAACGGTGAGTAGGCATGTCATGTCTTCTATCCTCCTCCAAGATAACAGAGTCATCTGACTGTGGAGACCTTCGCAAAGGTGTCTTGAGACGTAGTTCTATGTGGAGTAGGTTCGCACAGGTCCATTGGTTTGCGCACGGTGTCAGAAGATGAGAGGCTTCGCCGAGCCTTCGCTTCTTCCTCGAACCTCCATTCCATCAAATAGCCATCATCTGGTTGGTGAATTGTCTCATAAATTCACCTGGATCAAAGTTCTGCGTTGATTGAAGCTGCTGCGGTGTAGACGAAGCGTTTTCTCGAACGCTGATGAGTTGTGTGTCTCGACTTCACTGCGTTGAGAAGTTGGTGGTAGTTCGTCAAACATCTGGCCTGCTGTGACCGTTGCAGGAGATGATCTAGTAGTCGTGGAAGTCGATTGTGTCGCCAGTCTGAAAGGTACTTCGGGTAGAAGTAACGGGGGATCATCAAAAACGTCTACTTCATGTGGAGGTAGTATCTCTTCGTTGAAAGATTTCTGATGCGTTGACTACAACTACATCAGTACAACTTACTTTTTCTTGGCTTAAGTCGGAGTCAACAGCGTTGTAGCCGATCTCTTCTTAGCCCCCGTACCAGCAGACTGCCCCGGCAACGTACTCAACATAGCACCAGTATTATGAATCTCCGCAGTAGCAATCAACATACGGTTTGCAGGCTGATCTCCTGTTTTATCAGCCGTGACTTGAGATGACTTCCTCGTCCGATCCATGGCACGTCTATAGATATAAGACAAATATTGATTAAATTGTAGATTTGATAAATCAACACAATAAGTACAGCGCAAGCTGGAAGAACATGGTTTTATGCACGAAGGTCATTAGGGGGGTGAGGAACAGCCATGGATAACCTGTGCAGGCAAACACTGCAAGATTTCATGAAATGTTAACAAAGTTACATAACGATGAAATTATGACACAAATACAAATAATTTTTCAAATTTATGCATATAATACATAATAGTTATTGCCAAATCCATACTCAACGTAATTTGAAGAATAGGACCTAAATAAAAAGGATATAATGCCGTATAAGGGACTCCAGTGCTCGCCCAACCATCCGCTTGGGGGAAAAGGGAGAGAGTGACAAGTAAGGCTGGTCACATGACTGTTTGCATGGGAAAGGGCAAAAGGGAGGTAACTAGTGGGTGAGTGTAATTTTACGTCTGCTTCGGGAACTTCAAGGGATTCAAGTGTTCCACTACCATTCGCAAGGGAAAGGGAGATAAGCAAAAGATCATGAGTCAGGATAAGAAAAAATAAGAGAAATAGAAGGCTGTCAGCGGCAGGTAACACGGTGAATACAATGCCATGAATGTTAAAGGTCTCGCCTAGTTAGGGATGACATATCTGAGTCTTTTGTCTTCTTCAAGTCAGAGGACGAGCAAGAGGAGAGAGAGGAACTGGTTGCCATGGTGATGTCCACAGCTGGCAGGGTTCCAAAGAACGAAACCTTCATGGCTGGGTATCCAGCGTGAGTATAGATGGTTGCTCATAATATCGATCACTCAGGGATTAACTCTGTAATGTTTCTGATTGTCAGAGAAATACAAGTCACTTCTACAAAGCCATAACAGTAGTTATGGCTCTATCAACATGCACTTGGAAACTTTTAATTTTAGGTTTTGTATCTGATATATACTTCAAACCTGGGACTGAATATTGACCCTCTGAGCAGGTCTAGATAATTCCCTGTCACTAGATTGTCTGGCTCAGATTCGATTATTTGCAGGCTGCTAACATATAACTGGAATATTTCATGTCTTTTTGAGAGTCATGTATAGTATCTATATAACCCAGGATCAGGCTTTGAAGATAGTATGGCACTACATGCAAGTATTGTCCTTGGTTTCTGTCATTATTCAATGTTTCATGTAATTTCTATTCAGTTTCCTTAACTGTACGCTGCACTTATATGCAGAAGAAACACCTGATGAAGGGGAAAAAAGTAGAGGGAACTGCAGTGTTCTATGGATAGTTAAAATCCGTATCACCTTGTTTCAATTTGATTATTATCAATGTGCCTCTTTGGCACCAACATTTTTGTAGAGCCATCTTTCTCCATTTCTAAACTTGTAGAACAAGTTTTCCTGCTTGAAATCATACAAATATCTCCCATTTCCTGCTGATATTGATATCCATGAAGCTCCGGGTTAGAATCTTCAGCAACCCATGCTTGTCGTAAGAGGCGGCAGGATCGGGTGGTCAGCCTTGCTGACTTGGTTGACACATGTCATCGTATCCAAATTGCATAGATCTATGATCATGCTGTTGATCACTGAATTGTCTGGTCCAGACTCGATATTAACAGACCGCCTCCATATAGCTGGAATATTGCTGAGTGTGGCGTTAACAAAACCAACCAAGCTGATACTGATTTGTCTCCTCCAGCTGGTACCGTGACCTGTGTCCGCGGCCTAAAGCTGAAGACTGGTACCCTGGCCCCTCCCTGATCAGCACCCAAGTGCGAGTCACCCCCAAGCTGCTCCGCCTCACTTGGGAAGGCTACCCTGTCCACTATAACGAACAGCACGGGATGGGGTTACTTGGTTCCTGGAGAGACGGAGTCCGAGATGGACACGGAGTTGGCTAGTCAGGACGATGAAGAGGACCTCGAGGAGGAGGAAAGAAAGTTTCCCTTACAGTAAGGATTCATGATTGTGCCTAGAATGTTGTTATCCCATTATAGAATGTAGATAACAGGGGGCGGTGGGGTAGCCTAGTGGTTAAAGCGTTGGCTCGTCACGCCGAAGACCCGGGTTCGATTCCCCACATGGGCACAATGTGTTAAGCCCATTTCTGGTGTCCCCCGCCGTGATATTGCTGGAATATTGCTAAAAGCGGCGTAAAACTAAACTCAGTCAGTCAGTCAGTAGATAACAGTGGTGCATAAGTCTCAACATCCTCTTGACTCCCCTCCAAGCCCCTGGACTCTACAACCCCCCAGTACCTTCAGGAGTCCACAGTCCCCAGACCCAATACTTTTTGTACTCCACACCCACCAGATGTACAATCCCAGTATTCCACACACCCTAGACACAACGCCCATTGACTCAACAACCCCAGACATAACACCCCTGGACTCCAAAAACACCAAACACAACACCCTCATTCATCCACAGTCCCCAAACACAACACCCTCATTCATCCAGTCCCCAAACACAACACCCTCATTCATCCAGTCCCCAAACACAACACCCTCATTCATCCAGTCCCCAATGACAACACCCTCATTCATCCACAGTCCCCAAACACAACACCCTCATTCATCCAGTCCCCAAACACAACACCCTCATTCATCCACAGTCCCCAAACACAAAACCCTCATTCATCCAGTCCCCAAACACAACACCCTCATTCATCCAGTCCCCAAACACAACACCCTCATTCATCCACAGTCCCCAAACACAACACCCTCATTCATCCAGTCCCCAAACACACCACCCTCATTCATCCACAGTCCCCAAACACAACACCCTCATTCATCCAGTCCCCAAACACAACACCCTCATTCATCCAGTCCCCAAACACAACACCCTCATTCATCCACAGTCCCCAAACACAACACCCTCATTCATCCACAGTCCCCAAACACAACACCCTCATTCATCCACAGTCCCCAAACACTACACCCTCATTCATCCACAGTCCCCAAACACAACACCCTCATTCATCCACAGTCCCCAAACACAACACCCTCATTCATCCAGAGTCCCCAAACACAACACCCTCATTCATCCAGTCCCCAAACACAACACCCTCATTCATCCACAGTCCCCAAACACAAAACCCTCATTCATCCAGTCCCCAAACACAACACCCTCATTCATCCCCAGTCCCCAAACACACAACCCTCATTCATCCAGTCCCCAAACACAACACCCTCATTCATCCAGTCCCCAAACACAACACCCTCATTCATCCAGTCCCCAAACACAACACCCTCATTCATCCAGTCCCCAAACACAACACCCTCATTCATCCAGTCCCCAAACACAACACCCTCATTCATCCAGTCCCCAAACACAACACATCCTGGACTCCTGAACATGGAGACCATCACACACTGGCAGCCCAGTCACAGACACATGCCCCATGATCCCCTCTCACTTTTCTGACACATACATTTGTCCTATTGATGAAGATACCACCACCTCTGTCCTTCAGTTCCCTGACACATACATTTGTCCTATTGATGAAGATACCACCACCTCTGTCCTTCAGTTCCCTGACACATACATTTGTCCTATTGATGAAGATACCACCACCTCTGTCCTTCAGTTCCCTGACACATACATTTGTCCTATTGATGAAGATACCACCACCTCTGTCCTTCAGTTCCCTGACACATACATCGGTCCTATTGATGAAGACACCACCACCTCTGTCCTTCAGTTCCCTGACACATACATTTGTCCTATTGATGAAGATACCACCACCTCTGTCCTTCAGTTCCCTGACACATACATTTGTCCTATTGATGAAGATACCACCACCTCTGTCCTTCAGTTCCCTGACACATACATCGGTCCTATTGATGAAGATACCACCACCTCTGTCCTTCAGTTCCCTGACACATACATTTGTCCTATTGATGAAGACACCACCACCTCTGTCCTTCAGTTCCCTGACACATACATTTGTCCTATTGATGAAGATACCACCACCTCTGTCCTTCAGTTCCCTGACACATACATTTGTCCTATTGATGAAGACACCACCACTTCTGTCCTTCAGTTACCTGACACATACATTTGTCCTATTGATGAAGATACCACCACCTCTGTCCTTCAGTTCCCTGACACATACATTTGTCCTATTGATGAAGACACCACCACCTCTGTCCTTCAGTTCCCTGACACATACATTTGTCCTATTGATGAAGATACCACCACCTCTGTCCTTCAGTTCCCTGACACATACATTTGTCCTATTGATGAAGACACCACCACCTCTGTCCTTCAGTTCCCTGACACATACATTTGTCCTATTGATGAAGACACCACCACCTCTGTCCTTCAGTTCCCTGACACATACATTTGTCCTATTGATGAAGACACCACCACCTCTGTCCTTCAGTTCCCTGCATGAGTTCCTTGCCTCCACCAAGCCAGAGCTGTACGGACCTGACTACGAGAAGATCAAGCTGGCAGAGAACCCCCTGGGAAGAGGATTTGATGTCAACTCCATGGAGCCGTCAGAGTTGAGACGACACTGGGCTTTAGTCAATGAGACCAAGCCTCGCAAGGTGAGATGACTTATATACTATCAAAAAGAAGTTATAGAGTATATGAGCATTTTTGGCATATTAGCAGGTGGGTATTACAACCCTCAAGTGAAGGTGTCCTTTCTATTTGAAGCATGTTTATTCAGAAGAACTTCACCTTTATGTGAATTATGTATCATGTTTCTGGACTTTTATCTTGTAGCCTTTCACAGCCTCCCCTGGTGACGGACCGTTTGACATCGGTTTGACTGGCTGTGTGTTCTACAAGATACCACATAAGGTAGGTAACAGTCGGTACTGGCGTTGTACGCACTGCCCTGGACACCTACACAGCTGAAGGGAATTGGGTTCTTTCATCTTGTGCTAACTCTTTATGGTGCATATCAATTCTGTTCATTCGCCTTACAGTGACAACTTAGTTTTTTCTGATTACAATGAGAATCCTCATCACACAACATCTGGAGCTAATGTGTTGGAAGCAATAAGCACTCAGCCACTTATAAATCTTACAATTCTAAATTCCTGTTTGTGCATCACACTTTCAAATTTGGCTGAATGTACATGCATTTTCAAAGTCATTGCTGTCTTCACATCTCCCTGTTCCAAGGATGGCAACAACAAGCGAGTGGGGAATCCACTGGCCAAGGACTACCTTCTACGTGTGGAGGATGGAACACTGCGCACAGCCACCGGAGCAGATGCAGACCGGGTTTTGTCTCTGGGGAAGATGTGCTCCTACTGGAAGAACAACCAGCAGAGAATAGAGTGAGTGAAGTTCTCAGAAACTTGACCATCTGCCCAGAGTCCTGTTGCACAAAGACCGCCTCCGTAGTGTAGTGGTTAGAGCGTCCGCCCGGGAGAGCGGAAGGTTCGCTGTTCGATCCCCGACCGCGTCATACCAAAAGACATTAAAATATGGTACTTGTTGGTCCCTGCCTGGCGCTCGGCATTAATGGGTACAACAAGGACTGGTCGGCTCGGATTCAGTATAATGTGTCTGAGTGGGGTATTCATGCTTCACTGCGGCATGGTATCTCAGTGGGCTAGCACTATAAAACCAGCTTAAGTCTGGGCTAGTACAAACAGTCGCACATACACATACACACGCATGCACGTTGTCATATGAGCGAAATATTCTCAAGCACGTCGTAAAACCCAATTTCACCCCCGCCTCACCTGTTGCACAAATGGTTTTAGTGTTACAAGTGTCATAAGTCTGTTATAAAATGTGTGTTACATATGTCTTACCACTAAGACTGGACCCAGGTCTCCAAGAATCCAACTGGACATCTCCTACTGTCCAGAATATTGCATGTGTTGTTGAATATGACAGAGGTCCATAAGTAATCAAGTCTGGATCAGACAATCCAGTGTTTGACATTATGAGCATTGAGTTAGGCAGTGAGACCTTTAGACATGCAACATTGCAATAATGTAGTCCGAGTTTGAATCCTCATTCCCATTGTCATACCTTCACCTTCCACCCGCTTGTTACTTATGAATGTCAAAATCCTCTGTATATTTCACACAGTTTCAGTGATTGATTGTGTTAATTACTTAAATCTGTTGCCGTATATTGTTTGATGTTTCAGAGGTCAGATGGCACTGTGGATGAAGAAGGGAGAACTTCCCAAAAGCATCACAAGGTAAAGTTGATTTATTTTGGACTTTGTTAAAATAATATTGCATATATATATGCTCTTCCATACAGCATAACATACGCTGACTGATCTAGGCTTATGTCCGTTCCATGGGGGGGCGGTGTGTGTTTGTTTTTTGGTCTGTACAACTGATGTTTGCTAGTGCTGTTTGAACTTATTGTCTGTATGTCATGTTGTGTCACGTTTGTCACCACATTAAACATTATGATGCACTCTTAGTTCTATTATTTCTGGGAAACATTTCTATACATGTACTATGTATCATTTGACCCTTTATTAGTGACGCCTTGTATATGTAAATGTATTGTGGATAACCATCTTACATGACAAAATGTCTCATACTTTTCAATCATTTCAAGAACTCCTGATCATGGCGGTTACTTTGAATTTAAACAGGTAAACTTTTATCAAAGACCATAAAGCTTACAATTTTTCTTGAAAAGAAAGAAAATTTCATTTGCTCAACGTTCTTAAATTTCATGAAAAATAGCAATGCTGTGTGTGTTTATTTCATTCAACCACCATTTATTTCTGTATTACATGAAAAATAGCAATGCTGTGTTTATTCCATTCAACCACCATATATTTCTGTATTACATGAAAAATAGCAATGTTGTGTGTGTTTATTCCATTCAGCTACCATTTATTTCTGTATTACATGAAAAATAGCAATGCTGTGTGTTTATTCCATTCAACCACCATATATTTCTGTATTACATGAAAAATAGCAATGCTGTGTGTGTTTATTCCATTCAACCACAATTTATTTCTGTATTACACGTATATCAGCAACTCCATGACACTGAGAACATAACCGCATCACTTTACAGTCAGATAGAGTACACATTGACAGATTTTTTGTTCTCAAAGGAGAACTGATATACAAATTGACATGGAACTCTGATGTAAGGGAGATAATTCATGTATATCAGACAACAAGAAACCACTTTTCTACAAGACTAGTTTGTCTGTGTATGTAGACATGACCAGATAGTCTGTGTTTGCAGCCAGGAGGACTACGAGGAAGATGGCTTGTACGGTGCAGTGGTGCCAAGGATCGTCCCAGCCGGAACCATCACACGCAGAGCTGTCGAACAAACATGGCTGACTGCCAGCAATGCCTATGTAAGTCAAGTTGTATGCTTCAAACAAAGTAAACAAAGTGTTGCCAGTATTTTGTGTATATTTTTCCATACTCTTTTTTCCAGAATTTCAAATATTTGTTGCAGAAATATGTGTGGTTTGTAATGAAATATGTGATACCCAGCTAGGTGTAATGGGATTTGTATTTCTGCAGCCTGATCGTATCGGCAGTGAGTTGAAGGCCATGGTCCAAGTTCACCCTGGCTACCATTTTGTTGGAGCAGACGTGGACTCACAGGAACTTTGGATAGCCTCCATTATTGGTGATGCCACCTTCCAGAAAATACATGGTATGTATATATACTGTTTTCCTACTATGTAACCCACTGTAGATTCCAGGCTAGAATAGCTTCTAGACACCTTTACTTGTCGAGATGTGTCTCCTTCCAGTAAAATACTACTTCCCTGCAACAAATACCGCTTTTCTGCCTACATGTACTACTTTTCTACATACATATTCATCTTACCTACCTGTACTACATTCCAACCTGCATATACTACTTACCTGACAACATATACTACTGACCTGACTACTTGTACTACTTTCCTACCTATGTATACTTTTTAATGGTCATGCAAGAGGTCCTCCAGGGAATGAAAGATCAGACTTCGTAAACTATTTTGAAAAAAATAGCATATGAAGATAATGTAAAAATCCAGAACATTTAGGAATTGGTTCAGTCGCAACTTGTTTTAATTTTTTATCAAAATGGTCTCAATGTTAAATGTTTGCTTCTAACAAATTGAATGATATAAATGGTATTTTTTCAACTAAATATTGTCAGTGTATTTGTTTGCTCAAAGATTAAGGCTGGGTCTTCAGCAAACAATGAAAATCAACATGCCTGCCCAACAACTCAGTGAACAACTGCACCCTGTTGCAGGCAGACCGCCTCCGTGGTGTAGTGGTTAGAGCGTCCGCCTGGAGAGCGGAAGGTCACGGGTTTGATCCCCGGACCGCGTCATACCAAAAGACATTAAAATATGGTACTTGTTGGTCCCTGCCTGGCGCTTGGCATTAATGGGTACAACAAGGACTGGTCGGCTCGGAATCAGTATAATGTGTCTGAGTGGGGTAGTCATGCTTCACTGCGGCATGGTATGTCAGTGGGCTAGCACTATAAAACCAGCTTAAGTCTGGGCTAGTACAAACAGCCGCACATACACATACACACGCATGCACGACCTCATATGAGCGAAATATTCTCAAGCACGACGTAAAACCCAATTTCACCTCACCTCACCCTGTTGCAGGCTGCACAGCCCTAGGCTGGATGACCCTGCAGGGAAACAAGGCCGACAAGACGGACCTCCATAGTAAGACAGCAGAGACAGTCAGCATCAGCAGAGACCACGCCAAGGTAGGGGTGGAGGGTAGGGCTAGGTCCACACCAAAGTAGGGGTGGAGGGTAGACGTAGATTCACAGGCAGGTAGGGGTGGAGGGTAGGGGTAGGTCCATGGCAAGGTAGGGGTGGAGGGTAGGGTAGGTCCATGGCAAGGTAGGGGTGGAGGGTGGGGGTAGGTCCATGGCAAGGTAGGGGTGGAGAGTAAGGATAGGACCACAGCCAGGTAGGGGTGGAGGGTAGGGCTAGTTCCACGCAAAGGTAGAGGTGGAGGGTAGCGGTTGGCACACATCAAGCTATGGATGGAGGGTAGGGGTAGGTCCATGCCAAGGTAGGGGTGGAGGGTAGGGGTAGGTACATGCCAAAGTAGGGGTGGAGGGTAAGGATAGGACCACATTCAGGTAGGGGTGGAGGGTAGGGCTAGTTCGACGCAAAGGTAGGGGTGGAGGGCAGGGGTTGGCACACATCACGGTATGGGTGGAGGGTAGTGGTAAGACCACGTCAAGGTAGGAGTAGAGGGTAGGGGTAGATACACTGCCAGGTTGGGGTGGATGGTAGGGGTTGGCACACATCAAGGTATGGGTGGAGGGTAGGGGTAGATACACTGCCAGGTTTGGGTGGATGGTAGAGGTAGGTCCATGCCAAGGTAGGGGTATGATAATAACATAACAAGTATGATAATGTTTAACATGTTGTACATTAGGATTGTTGCTCTTGATATCAGTCACTGGTTTGTCTGGACCATAATCATTATTATGTCACAGTCATATAGCTGGAATTCTGAGTGTGATATAAACACATTGTTGCCTCCAGGTGATGAACTACGGACGCATCTATGGGGCGGGGCAGAGGTTTGCGGAGAGGCTGCTGGTGCAGTTCAATCCCCGCCTCACCCCCGAGGAGGCCAAGCAGAAGGCCAAGAAGATGTACATGGCCACCAAGGGCAAGAGGAGGTCAGTACAAACTGTTGGTAGTCTGCCATCCTCACATAGAATTAGACGAAAAAAACGTTTTTACTTTTCAAATCAACAATGCTGTAGACTAGTGTTGCTTGTTGTCCTGAAATCTGGCTCCCATGTCAGACACTGTTACTGTGTCTGAATCAGATTGAGTGTCTCATGGGTTGTTGTGCCAGGAATGGTTAAAACCCAATTCATTCACTCATTGTAAGGAAATGACACTATGTCTAATTGTAAGGTACCAGTTTATGTTCAAGTGAACTACAGGATATATCTAGAATACCAAACTAAGTAGCCTCGGAAAGTAACATGGAAAAACTCCTATTTTCTGAATTACAATTCCATAAAGTGTTATAAATTATGCATTAAAACCTCATCCTCTTTATTGTAACTGTTATTTGGAAATACAAGTCACCTTGACCAAAACATGTTATGGCCATTATAATATCTCAGACAGATTTCATGTGAGTGTTTTCTCTCTTTGACTGTCAATGAAGCAGGCATTCGTTCTATGGCACAGTATATTTTACTCTGGGTACAGATTTAACTCCCTTGTTTATTTCAGCCAATCGGGACTATGGGTCGGAGGAACGTAAGCTGTTAACTCCTCTTAGAATCATTAACCTCAAGATTTAGAAGGGCAAAGGTTACCCTGTTGTCCATTTCTTCCTTTAACTATACAGAGTTGCCTCCCTTAGGCATGCCTGGAACATATGACCTTGGGTTATAATCCCAGATTTGCACTGATTGTTTATTGTTTTGGAGCACCATCCCAGGCTCATGGTTCTAAAGCAGTAGCATATTTCTAAAACCGGTATCACTAGGAGCTTTCTCCATAATTCTTGCTGACATGTTGCGATATGACTCTCCCATAATCACTATAGAGGAAGTTAATTCTGGCTTCAGTTTTATTGATATAACTGAAATACTGTTTAGCCATCTCTCTCCCATAATCACCATTCATCAGTTTCCTGGATGTGTTTGTTATATCGGGCTGTGTTATTTCTGTTGAAGTGAGAGTCATATGTTCAATGGCCTTGAGAAGATAGCAAGATCGGAAGAACCATTGACGCCCTGTTCTGGGATGTCGAATCAGCAGAGCTTTGGAGCCAGAGCATGTTCTGGACGATGTAAGATTTCCCCAAAGCATCACCTTCATTACAATGAGGTTCAGTTTGATTTCACTGAAGCATCAGCACAGCATGAAACAAATGTCACTATCGGAATCATTTGACTGACTGACTCACTGAGTTTAGTTTTATGCCGCTTTTAGCAATATTCCAGCAATATCACGGCGGGGGACACCAGAAATGGGCTTCACACATTGTACCCATGTTGGGATTCGAACCCGGGTCTTTGGCGTGACGAGCCAACGCTTTAACCACTATGCTATCCCACCGCCCCTGAATCATTTGAATAGTTGTAGGTAGTAATAGGTGTACCCAGAATATTGGCAGTCAGAAATGTACGCTTGATGTGAGAGATGACTAAATAGATCAGGCAGCGTTCGAAATACCTGCCTGCCCGACTTCCCGGGACAGGTTATTTTCAACACGGACTACCAAATTCTCAAATTCACCTTCCCGATGGTCGGGGTAAAATTTAGACACATAGGCGGATCGGATGTTCGGGGGTGTTTGAAGGGGTGTGCAACAAAACACCCCCACCCCACCCCCACCCCACCCCTTTGTGCTGAAAGTTTGTTAAATGACCATGGAAACTCGGGTGAAAATGAAGTGTGCACCCCTCCTTTTATCAATAGTGTGCACCCCCCCCTTTCTCAAAAAGCTGTATCCGCCCCTGAGACATGTAAAGATATTTGGGGAGAGGTAAGTTTAGGTCAGGGCTGGCAAGTTTTACATTCCCATTGGAATTCCATGTGAGAGTATTGACGGCAAGCAATGTATGCAAACACCCCCAACCTTGACTTGGTTGAAGCACATCGTTGTATCCCAACTGTATAGATCAATTGTATAGATCAATTGTATAGATCAATGTTCTTGATGTGAGTCACAGTACTGGCTACTACAGACATGATCTGTTACAGAATATCTGGGGCAGTAGAAAACAACAAAGCACAAGTACAATGTATCTTATAGCATAAGATGTAATAATCCTAATATATGCTGTTCTTATTCACTCACTCACTCACTCATTATTAATGTATACCACCAATTAAATCATGTTTTGTAAAATGTAGCATATCGGTCAGGTATCAAGTGCTTTTGAGAAGAAATGATATTCAAACACTTTTTCACCATGTGTACAGCACTATTGCATAGCTGAACATATTTTGTCAATTTGTTTCAGTTCATGACAAGTCGAGTGAACTGGGTTGTCCAGAGCTCCGCGGTAGATTATCTCCACCTGATGTTGGTCAGCATGCGCTGGTTGCTGGAGACATTCTCCATCAAGGGGCGCTTCTGTATCAGTATCCACGACGAGGTCCGCTACTTGGTGAGAAGTGAAGATCGGTACCGAGCCGCCCTGGCCTTGCAGATCACCAATCTATGGACTCGATCCATGTTTGCCTCCAGGCTTGGAATGAAAGATCTACCTCAGGTAAGTAAACAAGGACAACCAGGTCATATTACTCCTGCGGTTCTTGTAAATATATTACAGTATGTGATATAATGAATCATAACATGGGATGTTGACTCACAGGATTTATGATTATAATGTAAATTCTACCATGACTTCAGTAAATACTGGATTGTGATTGGCTAATCAAAGTCAATCAGAGGTATATTTTCACGTTTATCAGAGGTATATAATGATATTGAAATAGCTCTAAATTTGACTTAAAACGGAACATAGAGCTATTTCAATATCATTATATACCTCTGATTTTCCAACACAGTATGTCATTTTTTAAATCTTAAGAACGCAGTTATAGTAGAATGCAGATAAAAATACTGTGTTGGAAAATCAGAGCTATATAACGAAATTATAATAGCTCTACGTTCGGTTTTAAGTCAAATTATAGCTATTTCAATATCATTATATACCTCTGATTTTCCAACACAGTATTTTTGTCTCCTAAATAAAGATAACAATCTCTAAACTGTTAACAGCGATAACTCTTGTTTGAATTTGGCATTGATCACTAATAATTTTAGATCAGATCAAAGAGTTGAATTAACATATTCTCAGAAATTTCTCATCAAAGAATTCCTTGTTAGAAGCATGTTAAGAAATTCAGTTTTTTGTAGTATGTTGAATTACAATCCTGTTTCAGTCGGTTGCCTTCTTCAGTAGTGTAGACATTGACACCTGCTTGAGGAAGGAGGTTGTGATGGACTGTAAGACTCCCTCCAACCCCCACGGTCTGGCCAGGGGCTACGGTATTCCACAAGGTAGGGCATTTCAATTTGGAAGCTGTGAGTATGTTATGATCGGTGGGTTTTATGTAATGTTGTCTGTGTGAGTTGGTTGAGTCTAATATTCAAGCGATATCACAGCAAGGAACAACAGATACCAATGGTGGGAATCAAACCGTGGTCTTCGACATGAACCACTAAACTACCCCACTGCCTCTCTGACAGTGGGGTTGATGAGGTAGCCGAGTGGTTAAAGCGGTCGCTCATCATGCCAAAGACACAGATTCAATGTGTGTACAATGTGTGAATCCCATTTCTAGTGCCCTCTACACTAGGGACAGTGGGAATCTTGTTAATCCATTCATGTGCGTGACTAATTAGATGACAAGGCATTTGGCTACCTTAAGAGAGTCATAGTCCATGATACTGATGGAATATTGCTAAAAGTAGTGTAAAAAACTAAAATCACTCACTTATCTAATATTCTTATGAATAAATGTTTAGCTATTAACTTGTTAACTTGAAAGTTATTTGAAAGTACAAAGGAATGGAACTAATGAGAATGTTCATATATATTTGTTTTGAATAACATATGAATTCCTTTAAAAATTGATGATTTGAATCGAACCCACACCCTCAGTCAGGCATCTGATCACCAGCACACAAAGTCAGCCGCCTAACCCGCTCAGCCTCTGCAGCTTCCACCCAGGGTTTTGGTTCAAATCCCAGATGGGACTCAACCCAACAAAAAAATACTAGAATCTGTACTTTACTGAGAAAATGTAATCCCAAATATAACATGTTACATTTGACCATTTTCTAAATGGCATTGTGTATTCATTGAATTTTTTTGTTTTCTGTCACTTATATATTTGCAGGTGCTGCCCTGGATATTTATGAAATACTCAAGATAACAAATGGGACGCTATGTGCCAAGTCCCAGAATAAGACAGCACCAAGTGGCACGAAGGAGAACTAAGTTTGTCAATGTTGGGATGATTGAATCATCTGTTAATAAAACCAAAAATGTCTGTTCAACCTTTCACTAGACACCAGCTCTATGGTCTTGTCAATGAAGTGTATACCCAGAGAGCATCATACCAAAGACATTACAATATGAAACTTGTTGTTTCCTTGCCTGGTTCCCTCTCACCTCATCCATGTATATACAGCATATGCTGTTTTATTATGTGATACTTATCATAATAGAATCAAAAATGTCATTTGTGGTTGTGTATATGGAATGATTTGTTTTTGTTGTTGATTCAAAATGCAGCCCATCAGGAATCCCGTGAGAATATAGTTTTATCTATGTTGTCGTAACAGGTGACATAATGGATCCAGGGTCAGGTTTGGTGATTTGGTTGGTCATGGCATCAATCACTGGACTGTCTGGTTCAGACTCTAGTATATACAGAACATCTTATTATTGCTGGAATATTGCTGAGTACAGCATTAAAGAACAATCAAACAAAGTGATATGGATGTAGACCAAGTGTCATCCGGACTTCCTCCCTCCCTCCCTCATCATGATCCTGTTTAAAAGGGGCAGTGGGGTAACCAGGCAGTTAAAGCGTCCCATCGTCACGAGGAAGGCCTGTGTTCGATATAATATGTGAAGCCCATTTCTGGCGTTCCCCTTTGATATTGCTGGAATATTGCTAAAAGTAGCGTAAACCCCAACTCACTCACTCACTGATTAACTCACTCACCTGTCCAAAATGGTGCATAACCAAGTTACTCACTCACTCGCTCACCGAACCTGATGAATGGCATCAGGAATACAGGGGTAGAGATTTTTGTTTATGTCAGAAGAGGTCTTTAATCTCTAGAAGCATTTATTCTTGCAACAATTTCAGTTCTTTTCTTGTTCATTACTGAAACATCATGTGTGATTTTGTTTTGTCATTTTATGTTATGGGGCTATCATCCAAAAAAGTGCAGATAAAATAGAAACAACCATTTTGTGAATGTTTGTAGTAAATAAAACTCAGTATTGTGTAAAACCTTTTTTTTATATTTCCTTGGCATGAGTTGCCCAGAAACCAGGGCTGATCGCAGAGTTGTTGCACTAACTCCCTGCTGCTGTGCCAATGTTCCTGGTGTGTTGGCAACAAGATTATGGGATAGAAAAAACTTACATGTGGTCAATGGATGATGCTATGGATCTCTGCTACTGTTTGCTGTGTTGAGCTGCATGAGAAACCTGCTAGAAATCTGGTCGGTGTGAATCCCAGATAATCTGTGACTATGATTCTGACTTTGTCAGCACCATACTCATGCTCGTTGCTCATAATATCAACCTCTCGTTTGTCTCTCCCATTATCGACCCGTTAAGATCCGGTTAGAATATTGATCTTCAGTAACCCATGCTTGTCGTAACAGGCGACTAAATCAGGTGGTCAGGCTCGCTGACTTGGTTGACACCTGTCATCGGTTCCCAATTGCGCAGATCGATGCTCATGCTGTTGATCACTAGATTGTCTGGTCCAGACTTGATTATTTACAGACCGCTGCCATATAGCTGGAATATTGCTGAAGGCGGCGTAAAACTAAACTCACTCACCCATTGTCCCATTATCGATTTTTTAGGACACTCATAGTATGTCTTCTATGTGTCTGTATGTGGGGGGGTGCGTGTGGTGCTGTCTACTAGTCTGAACAAATGCTGGTTTTATAGTGCCTGCTGACTGAAATACAATTGACACCGTCACACAGCTGTAGTGGTGTAAGAAGCTGTTTTAAACCCCACTCAGTCAATCGCTCACCCACTTCACTCGCTCATCTATGAAGGTATTGTCCGTCATCCAAAGAAATAAATTTTAAAAATAAGGAATCTGGACTTTATTCTTGGAGCCTATTCAAGATTGAACTTTTGGATAAGGGTCTGGATTCTGAAAAGAAATGGTTTAGTTTATTATGAATGTATAACCAGAAGAGAGAAAAGACTTGTACATTCATTGTGCCGAGACGACTCGAGGAGTTTATGAGACGTGTCGGAGACGAGTATAAGAACAGAGGCGGTGAGGTCACGTGGCGTCAATACACACAATTGACAATATATCTTCACAGGAATAGACAATAATGGATAGTATTAGCAATAATTGTTTCATGAGAAAGGATTGTTACGGTAACCTATATGTCTAATGCTTACTAAACTCAATCTAGATAGTTACGTTCACGTGTAACACTAAACTCAATCTAGATACATGTAGTTAGGTTCATCTGTAAAACTCCCAAAACAAAGTCTCCATTGTTACGTTCACGTGCAACACTTCCGAACACGGTCTATGATGCTACGTTTTTGCCTATCACTTACGAAGAGCATCCATAATGTTATGTTCACGTAAAACACGTAGGAAGAGCAATCTAGATGGTTACATTACTTCTAACTCATACGAAGGGCAATCTTAATGTTATATTTACTTCTAACACTTACGAATGGCAATCTTAAATGTTACGTTTACGTCTAACACTTACGAAGAGCAGTCTATAAGGGTACGTTTACGTCTAAAACTTACAAAGAGCAATCTAGATGGTGACATTTACGTGTAAAACTTACAAAAAGCCGTTTGTAATTTTACGTTTACATCTAAACATTACGAAGAATTTAAGTCTAACACGTGCAAAGAGCAATCTAGATGGTGACATTTACGTGTAAGTCTTACGTAAGGCAGTTTATAATTGTACGTTTAAGTCTAATACTTACGAAGGGCAGACCATGGGACACGCATTCTGGAGGAAGGACACCTTTATTATCAGAGGGCACTCGGTCTCGCAGAGCTTCTCGGTAGTGTCAGAACCAAGGGTTTGAACCAAAAGACTCACTATGTGCTTGACCTCGTTCGAATCCAGAATGTTAGCTGAAGAGAGAAGCATCGATTTACAGACACGCAGTCTACGTAGAAGATATGTCAGGTAAACAGAGAAACTGACGAAGCCTTTTATTTATTAGGGACATGATTACGTGAACTATCAACAGCCTCGAGAGTGCCTTAGTGGGGAACTTAGGGACTCAAGCGATGTTCCATTTACAATATGGGACTTAGTTCTATTTTTCTGGAGCTCCTTTCACGAAGCACTAAGGTGATCGTAAGTCACTAAGGTAACCTTAGTGCAATGTTAAAGAATGGGAGTTAAGGTTAACCTTAGTAAAGGTTGCTTCGTGGAAGGAGCCCCTGAACATTATCCAAGTATAGGCCTAAGTAATAGACCTAAGGTCTAATATTGCTGAACGATAATATGGTAGTATTTTAAATACGGCAGGGGTTCGTACCCCTGAAATTTGAAAAGATGAGTGGAAGATTCCAGAAAATGCTAGCATCGACTCTGACTCAGTTATAGAATTGGAAAAAGAAGGCTTGTTTGTTGTTGTAGTGCAACATCGCAAACAACGATATTCCAGTAAGTCTAACTCGAGTCTGGGACACACTGGTTGATGTTGTGGGCACTAGTCCACAACTTCGGGGCGCCCTGACACGCGATCACCCACGTCACCGAGCCAGCGTGCGAAATAGTTTCCAAATTTTGCTTGCCAGTCGAGCTAGCTATGCCTGAAAGTTACTAGCCCACAAAATAATTCACGCGCCCGAAATCTGAATGTAGAAACTAAGCAAAAGATTACAAAAAGTTAAAATACCATCATCTATCCGGCCATCATCTTGGATGATTTAAAAGTGCATTATACTTAACCAGTCGGAGAGAGTGTATATTAAAAGAATTACCCCATGGAAATTCACTAGTCAGTCGGGATAGTGACTGTGGAGATTTTTCTGGCCCGACTGGGTTTTTACTAGCCACGGGCTAGCAAGCTAGTGGCTATTTCGCACACTGTCACTGAGCCTATCATCTGATTCATTACGTCGTGCAAGACCAACATTAGATGCTGGGGACTTTCCACACACGGGGGTTCATGGGTGAAAGGAAGTCACTTACATAAAAGCATCCTCTTCTCCAAAGGCTTGGAGAAGGCCAGGGGCAGCAGAACAAGGAGCATAAGCACGACCTTCATTGTTATGTGAGCTGTAAAACCACAACACACATTTAAATCAATCACATTTCATCTGAATCGTTTTAAAGTCAGTCAGTGAGTATGGTTTTACGCCGCTTTTAGCAATATTCCAGCAACTTCACGGCGGGGGCACCAGAAAATGGTCTTCACACATTGTACCCATGTGGAAAATCTAACCCGGGTTCGGCGTCAGTAGCGAACGCTCATCCACTAGACTACCACTATCGACCCAGTTGTGAAAGGAAAAGTGTAAACACGACTAAAGTTTGCTTTAATATAGATACTGGTATGCGTATTGATATAGTTAAACATTATTACGAAAGTGCGTTCTATAGATGGATTCAATTCAAATGTTTATTGTATGAAAGGCCGTAGGTCCACACACATGAAGTCTACATAGTGCGGTATAGGATCACTTTAACAAAAGATGTACATTTCATTTCAATCCGTTTCTGATCTTTGAAATTTTTAAGTATAACATAACAGATGTTAAATCTTGATAGTTTGTGGTTGCCATAAGGCGAATAAATTGTTGTACCAAAGGTCGAATTAAATATTTTTTAGATGTATTGTTTTCGAATATTCTTAAAGGATGGACATATAAGGATGAAAAGGTACAGATCTTCGATATTGTTTATGCACATACTCTTTCAGACTTTGCCATTATATTATGTCTCCCGGTATCAATATTTAGCCTTGTACATCCAACTCGAGCACGAGCAAAGTCGGTTGCAAATGTACACAAGGTCGAATCTATTACATATTTCTCTGCTTCAAGGCTAATCTTAAAACTTGCATAACATTCATATCTAGTGCTAGATGCTAATATATTTGTCTATTCTTGGGAGTACATATCTTTTAATCTGGTTTGAAAAGTGCTAAGAAAACTGGCTATACACTAGCTCTTGATAGACCCAAGCATCGCCAAGACCCGAGCTAAATAAACTATGTCTAAGTGAGTGAGCTGGATTTACGACGTTTTGAACAACATTCCGACTACATCAAGGCATGGCAGCTTAATGTGAGAGATAAGGCTTCAGTGATGTAGGTCGTAACGTATATAACACGCTGTTGAAATCCAGGCCAACGGGTAAGGTGCTGTCAGGCCGAGGTGACATGGTCAGCACTAACCGGGTTCGAACCCACAGTCACCGCTATGTGACGTGTCCATGAGCCTCATCTTCTTCGTGTTCACATAATCCTGCATTTCACTGACATCATTGATGAAGAAAAGTCCTACTTTGGTCAGATATAACATTATACTGTATACTGCAAAAGGACCCGAAATTACATACATAATTGTGCTACAACGTTGAACATTGAAACATCTGTCTTTTTCAAATACAGACTTATCGAACGTTGATTCATATTCCTATAGTTACAGCTGAGAAATGGTACAATAGCACCGATTTCTGATTATTAAGAATCTCAGACTGTCATATATTACATACGATATACTTATAAAGTTTCTGTCGTACTAAATGGAAGATATAATATATGACAATGATATAGATATATAAATATATCGATATAAATATATACAGAGAAAGAGAGAGACGCGCGCGCACACACATACATGTATATACATGGATAGTATAGCATAGTATATAGCTGCACACACTGTTGCAATACATTGTTTATGTGTAATGAGAACTTAGATCAAGACTTAAGATAGAAATTGATTTTTATTTGTCTTTGTTCCTTTACCAACTAGGGCTCTACGCGTGTGATTAATAAGTCATACAACTATCACGGATTAATCAGAAACCATAAGTTCTACGTGAGAAGTTATTGCGTCTTACCTGTTGTCCGTACAACTGAGGTACTGATAGACCGTCGTGTCGTGGTATATCTAGGAGCAGAGCCAGCTGATAAGGGCCCGCACCCCAAACCAAACGTGTTTGATTTCTTTATTTCTAGGTGTGGTGCCAGATAGAACATATTCTTCTTAACCTTTCTTTCCCTTGCAATATGCGACTTAACTCTGGATTTCTGAAAATAGTTCAGCTGGGAGTTCTGGATGACCAATTATCAACAGTAAATTGGTAATATTAGCTTCCGAGGTATACTGAGGGGCAAAAGAAAGTATACACTTGAAAACCGGTTATGACAAAACAAATACAAACGTTATCAAAATGAAATTTCGATTAATCGTTTTTTTTTTGTTGTTGTTGTTGTTTGTTTGGTTTTTTTTGTTTCGTTAAAACCCACTATCAAAGAACTTTGTCGCTTATTCCTGTGGCATATGAGACGCTTCCTTATATCTGCTTAACAAAAATTACCATTTTGGGGGCAATAGAATATTATATTTATATATGGGTAAATATAAGACATCAACGACAAAGAATAATCAGTTTCGATTATATGGCGAAACAGATTCATCCGGAGTAAAAGGTAAAATATCGGTGAAATTACATGAATGGATCGCTGAACATCAGTGATGACATCACCACATGTTTCTTTACCTTTCAGCAACCAAACAACGTGTTCAAAGTTAGACTGTATTTCTTCAGTTTATTGAGGTATGAATGATATACCGATGAACAGATGATTGCATATTTTAGACGTCAATGTAAGCATAACAAAGTAAGGTTCTAAGTCATGACGTCATTGACTTTGTGACGTCTTGCTGAGTAACATGTGACGTCATTTACTTTGTATAGAGTCTATTATGACGTAATAGCTATAGCAACACAGTTCACAGTTATCTGAACCGTTTGCCTTTATGCAAACTCTAAGCCTACTTGAACATCCATCGGTATGAAATAGTACCATTTCACAATGAGTACAGGGAATCCGGAATTGACGAAAGAAACGCACAATAACAGTGCACTAGAACAGGAGGATTGTAGCGAAGATTTTCATGATTCTGTTACGAATGATTCGCCCAAGGATCCTCCCGAAGGTCTTGCCAAAGCGCCATTACAAACCGTGGAAGATTCAGTGGAACAAGAACCTGATCAAGACGAGCAGTTTTATGACGTAACTACTGGTTTAGAAAATTGCAAAATTGATGATGTTCCAGCTCAAGATGATGCTGAAAGCTCTGAAAATCCACCTGATGATTCGTCTCTAACGGATGATGACATTGAAGTAATATGTGAGTATATGTCTCCTGATGTAGCCACAGATTTCAAAGCTGAAATTGAAGCTGCTGCAAATGCAAGTAAACCTAAATTAGAAGATGATTATAAAATTGACGACATTGAGAGTGCCCCTAAACAACAAACACCCGAGGCTGCACCTGAGACAGACCAAACTCAAAATGGCGATGTTAATGGACAAATACCACCACCCATCATGTTTTGGCCTCCAGAATGTTGTATTTCACCTTCGGATATGCCGCGAAATTGCCCGATACCGGACCCAAACTACTTTAATCCCTCCTTGATGTTTCAACAACCTCCTCCAGATCAAGTCTTTCCGCCACATATGTTAGAATCGCAAGTCCTCCAAGAACAGGAACTGGCCAAAGCTAAAACCTGTGAACAGATCGAAAACGGCTACTATGCCTATTCTACTGGTGAACCTCAATCCCCTGCGTGCTCAAACTACACGCCACCCTTACCCTACAGTCCTTACCCGAATACATTCAACGGACAAGTCCCTATGGGTGCGTTTGATGATATGAGTGGCTGTGAGTATTCGGGAGAACCATCTCCCTTCGTCTACCCATCAATCTATGTGTCTACATCCGGTCTCATGACAGTCCTTCTAAAGAACGACACTTCCGTTGAGATGACAGCCGACAGAACAGTACGTATCGTCAGTCACAAAAGTAAGATGGCCGTGGCATCTAGTGCACGTGGGAATATGAGCGTTTTGTTCCATCCATCAGTCAAGATATTTCAAGATGGAGGCACGACTAGCGTTCAGATCAATGACGTCAATGCTAAAATGGCGACGGATGACATATGGTTTGCGAATGATCGCAGTTCCTTCAAATTCGACACCAACATGATCGAACCTGACACTACCACGTTCAGAAATATGTCGAAGGACGAGTCCGTGAATCTTCTCTTCTCGGCCGATACATTTGGCGAGAAATATGTCCCCCAGTGTCTTGACGCGGCGTCTCAGGCGGAGTACGAAAATCTCCCTAAGGGCGGAGTCCAAATCCGTATCAACAACGTCAAGATCACCCAAAGTGGACGAGGCGATGTGATCGTAGTCACCGGCCCGAAGTATCTGAAGATGTCGCCAAATGTTGGCATCATCCGAGTGAACACTCACTACATTGAGGTCGCAGTAGAGAAGGACATGAGTACTCGAATAAGAAGAGGTGGACATACTCTTACTGCAAGCGGTGGGCAGGTCATCCTGTCTAATGGCAGGATCGAAGCTGGCTTTGATGAGCATAGCCGCTTGAAGGTGCTGTCCCTCCCTGGGCGTTCCCCCCTCGAACTTGGTGAACGTCGACCTCGGAAACACACTGGATCTCCAAGACGAGCAACTGCCTTGGATGGAATGTTCTGAGAGACATGTATTTGTGACTGAAAGTTACTAATTTTATGTATTGTTACTTTTTTTGTTATTTGTTTCCACAGTTGACTGAAGGAGATTTAAGCTGCGTTATTTGTATGGAAATATATGTTGCCTGGGAATGCAGAAATGCAAATGATTGATTTTAGAGCTATAAATTTTCTATAAATTATTCTGTAAGGGTACAGCGAGAGCTTCGGCTGCCATTAGAAATAAGAAAAGAACCAATGCCCCGTTACACAACGAGATCATAGCCCTGTTGGCGATCGTAACTCCCTTTATTTAATATAGACATTCGACTGTAGCAGCACTCTGATTCTATTGTGGAACCGGGCCATATGCACAAGGAGACCTCGTTGGCATACAGCACTTGTATGTCTATCTACGTTAGGTGTTCTACTACGGCAGTTTTATACGTCTTTGTATCAGAGTACCGTTTATCCTTGAACAGACGCTCGACGTATATTTTTTCGGATAGGTCAACAGTACACATGCTTACATATAATGTTAAGCATAAGACAGAAAGTCGTTGAGCGCACCATTTATCTAAGTATTTACGGTAACGACAGTTCACAGCGCTTAGATTGATGCGTTCACGTAGACATTGTGTTGAAGGGAGTAGAGTATTCAACATGCAGAGGACTGTTAAATATGATGTATACCATCGTCATCAACATTGTGTGCACAGCTGCAGGTATCAGGGATATGCAGACTGTGCGAGTTACCGTCTGTACGGAGACCTGTTTGCTGACATGTGGGGTGTATGGCTTATAAAGATATTTTTTTGAAAATGAGCATTTCCTTGTTATTTTTTCAAATATTTCCACTGCCATTACGTAAGTATTTGATACTCTCTGTAACTCTTAGATACTTGGTTGATATACAGGGTAGCCTACCCATACATAAACATAAACCCATGTTAGTATATCTAACCCTAATCCGAGAAAACGTTCAAACATCTGTAGTGTATTATCTATTTCAGACACACAAAGTATGGGAAACTAGAATAGGAAAATATTTTTTCAAAACTGCAACACAAACAGCATAAGTTTGGGTTTTTTGTTTTCGGGGACAGGGGGTTATATAAAAAACGACTTCGAAATAGACCTTCTTAAAAAGATGTTACAAATCAATAATTAACTCCTTTAGATAATTGTTGTAACTATGTGGAAAAACACTGAAGACAATACTGTGTTATCTCGAACTGGTCTTGCATATTTGCGTTTGAATTAAGTACATGTATAAAGGTCATGTGGTCACTTCCGAACTTTGACTTTATCTCTGTTGTGGATATAAACTGGAGCAGTCGCCGTTTTGTTTTATTATAAAATGTAAATTCTGTCTCACATTTCCAAAACCAAGAACAAAATAGATGAATGTAAGTTGAAGCAAGGCTTTTAGTATCTGTACACAAATAGAAACAGTGATCATTATCAGTATTATATCAATGATGTATCAGTTAACTGAAGCATTTATCCGTGACATAAGCTAATTATAAATACGCGTTGACATAAGTATGCAAATTACATAACCGGAAGTGGGAGTTTTCCGCAGGCGCACGCGAGCAGATATTTACAAACATCTGATAATGGAGACAAATAATGTTTAAATAGATCAAAAGGGAAGTGCTACAGTGATATACGTGTTGCCCATGGATATTACAGGTTGAGGTACCGAATTCTAATTTGACTGTGATAAAAGCAGATTATCTAGAATTCCCTGTGACCAACGTTTAGTCATCGAAACACCATCGTCGAGCACGGCGAAGCAGACGACCAACTCAAACCCTAAGATGTCAGAGGTAGATTTGTCGTTGTTGAAGACAACATGATTGATGGCGTGATCCTACACAACCAAGAAACCTTTGTATGCTTTCAAACAACACAGGACAAATCTTATGGATAATCTTACGCTTTCAAACAGTTTGATAAGTCTAAAAGTCCACAATGAATTTCGCCAAATGTATGAAATACCCCCAAACGAACAAGACATACTATGCAAGTTTTTTCATTAGGGTTCTAAATGCAAACAATGAAAATTATGGTTGTCTATTTTGGTTTACACGGCAATGGAAAACGTATGACTACGCACGATATATACGTAAGATTTCTGATGTTAATTTTGATGCAGTTATTTCTTGAAAGGGAAACAATGTTAAAATGATTAATTGACTTCATCATTCGCTAAAGGATCCTTAAATATCGGATTAATTGAGACTCGATTGATATTTCCCATATTAAATAAGAAAACCCTCTGTATTAGAAACAGAGACTGCCTCCAGTCTAGCATGGTTACAGGTGCGGCTTCTATGACAAGGGTGATTCAGTATGTTTTTACGTCGCGGACATTACTATTCCACCAATATATTTATAGAATATTCTAATTTGGGAATGGCAACCAGTGGTTGATCAACTATGTGATAAGGATACTTTCCCACATGATAACATAATCACACGTGTCACACTATCCCTGGTATTGGCGGGTGTTCCCTTTTTGCCAAATATAACAAAGAGACACAAAGGCTATATTGGACAGCTATCCATTGGCGGTCTAGAACACACGCGCACACGCTCGCACGAGCAAGCACATACACACATACATACGTTGGATATAAAGGAGGAGGAATTCACTATGTCCTGATGCACAAACACAAAATGTTCAAGCATCGCGGATTATTCCCCTGCAAGTTAAAGAATGGCAGATACAGTTGTTAAACTGAAGGTACCGGAGTCCAGCCTTCCACCAGTCTCTGAAACTCAGCTGAAAGTCAATAATGGCCACATTAAAGTCCTCATTTGTTGATTTGTCTGTCGGACACAATTGCTGACGATAATGAAATAGTAGAATGTGACGGCAGTGGGGTGTCTGAACATGAGAGTCATCTGCAAGCACGGAGCCATGTATCTGTGATGCTTCCAAGGCTGGAGTGAAACCTCACTGTGAGCCGCATAGGTGGATCCAGGAATTGTCAAAGTCTGTGTGTGTGCGTACGTGTGTGCGTGCGTGTGAGTGTGTTCGTGTTCGAACTCTCCCTCCCCCGCTCCTAAATGCAGGGGGGGGTGTCGAACCCCCTGAAACCCACCCCAACCCCACCACTTGCACCCTTGGATCTGCCAATGAGCTATGTCCAAGCTTTGGTGGAATATACTTGGAAAATGTTGGCAAATGGGTGCATTTGTTGTGTGCTTTGTATACCCCTGGTGTAGCGCTTAGAGATGTTGTTAAAGCTCAGTCCTGTCACGTTGTTTGAGATGCCCTGTGTGCGATGGGGTTCAAGGGAATGTGCACTGTGTGAAGATCGGTTTTGCCGGACCGGTGTGTGTATGTTTAATACGAGTACAATGAGTTGCCAGTGAATAGTGCACAGCGCATACGTTTTCTGCGTGTTCTAATCAAGTGCTGTTCATTCTTGAACAAATAGGGCATTTAAACGGGAACAGGTCAAAGTGGCCACACAAAAAATGTCCACAAGCCCTGGTCAAAATGGCCACACCAAAAAGTCAAAATGGCCATAGAAAAAGTCAAAATGGCCATACATTATTTTTTTTTCATATTAATTAGTATTGTTCTTGAAGTGTTGATTTCGATGAGAGATCAATGGAACTGTCCATTGAGGAAGACGAAGACGAGACTTCTGAAGCGGAAGAGCAGTTCACCCTTCTCCAGACCGACTCAAAGAAGGCAAACCTCAACTGATAGAGTCTAGTGGAGACACATATGTCCAAAAGGTATCTCCCCTGTTCTCAAATATATGAAATGATAGTATCTATTATTATAGTAGTAATAGTTATTTATTGTAGTTCTTTATTACTGTATATATACCTTGTAATGTGATGTTGTAAATATAATATAAACTTTATAACATATCATGTAATATTTGGGCGGTGGGGTAGCCTAGTGGTTAAAGCGTTCGCTCGTCACATGGGTGCAATTTGTGAAGCCCATTTCTGGTGTCCCCCGCCGTGATATTGCTGGAATATTGCTAAAAACGGCGTAAAACCAAACTCAGTCAGTCAGTCATGTAATATTTATCAAGTTCATTTTCATTTTAGTCTTCAAGAGGTCCAGAAATTGCACTGGCGTTGCAGTCAACGAGGGAAAGAGATGAACTGAAGTACAACTGTAATCCAGGACCAGGACACACTCCCATCTCATAGAGCCCGGTAAACTTCAGGAGGCTCAAGTGAAGATGAAGGTAAGATGCATAGGTATTAAAAAAATGACCACTTATCATTTAATTGGCTCGTTAATTACTAAACAACATGTTATTACATACATTGTGTAATCTTTATTAAGATGTGAATCCAGAAGTGCTTCGTTAACTAATTAAGCCGCAATTGATCAATTAATTGTTAATCTCTGTGTTTATTGTAATTGTTCTTATACTTTTCAGGTGAAGGAAGCACCCATGGCTTGTGTGCCCAGCTGACTGGACCAGTGGAATGAACTGTTTCTGACTTGATGTAATTGATCTACATGGATGTCATGTAGTAGTAAATAATACAAAAGTGCATGTACGTGAAGGAAGAACCTACAGATATATGTCTTGTTATTTTTTAAAAAATATGATTTGTTGATGTGTAATAAACATCAAGTTTTGTCTGATATAACTTCTTTTCTCATTTATACACCTTGATATCAAATGATACAAGATTGGTAAATGTTATGAGTATTAAAAAATAAAACAATAATGTTTGTGGCCATTTTGACTTTTTTTGTGGCCATTTTGACTTGGATGTTTTATGGCCATTTTGACGTGTGGCCATTTTGACGTGTGGCCATTTTGACTAGGACCCCATTTAAACATTAGGCTGACTGACTGACTGAGTTTGGTTTTACGCCGCTTTTAGCAATATTCCAGCAACATCACGGCGGGGAACACCAGAAATGGGCTTCACACATTGTACCCATGTGGGGATTCGAACCCGGGTCTTCGGCGTGACGAGCCAACGCTTTAACCATTAGGCTACCCCACCGCCCCTTTAAACATTAGGATGATGTCACAGATGTGTTTAGATATTAGGGAATGGAGACTTACAGGGATATTCACTTACTTAAAGTGTCTTTTTTACACTTTGACAAAACATTCTCTTGTGGAAAATATTTAAAAAGTAAACCAGGACCCTTTGAAACCTGAATTTGTACTGTGCGAGTCGACCATGCGTGATGCACGTGTATTACCTTATCTGTCGCTGTTGCATGTGTGGTACCAGAGACCATATTATATGGTCTCTGGTGGTACCCACGAAGATCAACTGAAACATGGCTTAACCGTACCTTCAATTCTCGTCAGATTACTACCTGATTTTGAACATTCAATATATATGCAAGAAACCATGTGAATGAATTCGTTGGTTCAGTTATGATCAAATTTAAGATCTGTTGATCTAGATAATTACCATACCTTGTGATCGTTAAGATCGTTTTACAGTTGATTTTCGACAAAGAAATGACCCTCAGACCGCTCATTTAGATTAACAAATATTTCTAAGAAAGTACAACATTTTTAGGGACCATTTTGTCAGCACCATACCATGAGCGTGGGTTCTCTTTTGGCTTTCCTTCCAACTAATGCTAACTCGCTGTGGCAGAAATACGTTTGAAACGCCGTTAAAGTCTCCGTATTACTCACTCACTGATGGTGACCCCACACCCTAAAACCCGGAAAACCGGAAGTTGTAAATTCAAGATGTCTGCGCCCATGAAATAAACACATGCCTTCGGACTTGAGTCGATAATATACTACGAACAGTCGAACTGCGACCGATTTACCAAAATGGGAAAGAAGCACAAGAAACTAACAAAAGTAACTGACAATGAAGACAATATTCAAGCTATGTCGGCTCCAACCAAGGAGGAAATAATCCCCTTTATCAACCCTGTGAGGAAACGCAAGGATGAAAGAAAAGAAAAGAGGCAGCTGAAAAAGGCAAAACGTTTAGCATTCAGTCAAAGGAAAGAAGTGAGTCTCATCAGACAAAGAGTTCATGTCACCAAGTCCATTCAATGCATGTACAAGCAAACTTATTTATGGGTCTAAAAAAGGGTTTCAAGCCTTAGATTGTTCGGCGATGTTGGCTGTTATACTTGTAATGCTATACATTGCTCTCGTTGTCAAACTCCGAGGTTGATTTAGAACAGCTGGTAGTTTAGTAGCATTCTACAGCGGGAACTGTGTTTGTTATTTCACATGGATACGGGTCACATTAGTAGATGACGGACAAATTTGATTCGATTCGATTGTTTATTCAGTAAAGACTTGGGCTATATGCCCCTCGTCATCATTTTACACTGTATACATGATAGAATATGGATTGGTCGTAATTAAGGAAGTCAACAGGTGTCAAGATAATCTGTTTGATTGGCATGTTTGAACTTGATGAGCACTATGCAGTGCTTGCCTCACAACAGTATAAGAATCTACACCTAAACGTTGCATCATCATATCATAAAGAATTGTCATCCATAAAGTATCCTGCCATTCATAGGTGTAAAGATACATGTCCCATTAATGTCAGCATCTTCAGTGATACGTGTAGGTAGTTTTTTTATAAATCCCATTGTCAAAGCTGCAGAATGTTGTCTTAGTTCATGAGAATTATACATGTTAACACAGTGGTTCCGCGGTGATTGAATTAGTTAGGGTCAAGCGCTCCACTTTGTGCCGCTGAGCGCACCCATCTCACGAACAAGAGACTAAAGTCCGTCTCGCGTACTCACGTTACGTCTCGGACTGCAATTTAATAGTGTGATCCATAATTGTTTGATCGGCATTCCAGAAGTTGGTGAGTTTATAAGAAAGCACACAAGTTGATAACAACTTCTTGTTTATTGCACAGAGTGATGTTTCAGTGTAGATTCCCATACCGTTTGCAAGCTAAATGTGTCCCTTTGTTTATGAAAGTTGTCCAATTTTGTTAAAGGTCACATGCAACGTAAAACACAACTTTGCAGATTCTGATACCTTTCGGTATGGACTTACCGAAACAAATTGTCAAAAATGCAAATTCAACTTATAAAGTTGAAAAATAACGCGATGAAAAAAACCGCGCGAAATCGGAGTTCAAACGTTTCACTAAATTTCCCCCGACTTTTCTGTGGAAAACGGGTTTCAACAGCTGGCTGGCGCCATAGCATGTGCGCAGTGAAATAGGTTCGCGCGAGCTTGGAAGCGGGTTGTCCGGTGAATACTCGGTGAAGGCTTTGGTGTTAGCTATTTTTCTAATGTTTGGTTGATATCTCACAGGCGCGAGCTTTTACATGTTATGACAGTAAATTAACTGTTTATATAATTTCATTTGTCTATTTCACCACATGTTCTTCTTACCGAAGTCACTTTCTCAGTTCGATACTTAAAAGCAATGTCATTATTTAGCTTGACAGATTTCTAACTGTGATATAGATATGTCGCTGTCACAGACAAAACTCAATGTCTTGTTTTATTGACACCTGTGTGTCTGCCTACCTGTCTGCTAATGACAATATTCAATACACAGCTGCTATCACTGACCACATGCAATTTGAACTTAACACCAATCAGGCTATACACCACAAACAAAATGCATTGATTTATGGCCCGAAGTTCGGTCTCTGTCACATTATGTAATTACACAGACAGGCAGGTGTGATACTTGAACACATGACATGTTATGATGTCTGTTGATTGCAAAATGTTATACACAAAATGCGCATGTATTTACAAAACCCAACATCTCTATATATACACACACAATGAGCCGTGAGGGCATCTGCAAATGAACCAGCCGTTACACTTGAGTGCACACCCATCCGCTCTGACTGGGTTCGGTATCCCGGCTGCTTCGTTTCTTGGGAAGTAAACCGAAGTACACAATATTGCACTTTTGATTTGCGATTGTACGCTTATAATTTTGTTTATATGTTTTTTCATAACCAGCAATGTATATTATATGTCATGAATAAGTGATAATTGTGTTTTAATTATGTTTGATTTTTGGGTTGCATGTGACCTTTAACATGGTTACATTCGGTAACTGGCTGAGTCATCAGATGTGTCACCATTAGCATATTTAAGAAAGCAGTTTTGACAGTGTGAGATGTTAAATTGCTTAGCAAAGATTGTTTATCCCTAGTGTTCAGAAAATGTCTTTTCTTTAGATAATTTCATTAATTAATGACTGTTGAAAGTCATAAACAAGAAAATATCAGTTGTGTTTCTGATTAGTCATTAGTTAATTTGTTGTCAGATGCCGACTATATCCAGACAAGAAGCTGAGAGGAGAGCAGCTGCTGCTGTGGAAAAGAAACAGGCAAAGAGGAGAGAGAAGAGGGCAAGGGTCATCAAAAGGAAGATTGAGGCCAGGAAACAGAAGAAGGAAGACATGCAGGTAGATATGCTGGACACTGGCTTCCAACCACATTTCATTTGTCACTGTTTATGTCGTTTAGATTTTACTAACCAAAATAATTTATTAGCTTTAGGTGAGTAAAATATGGTTATTGTTTTGTGTGCTGGCTGTGGTTGGTTGAATCTGTAAGCTGAAAAATAAAATATTCTGTGATATCTGAAGCAGTTATTTAGTACAGGCTAGATAATTTTTAGATATCTATCTCTCATGAGGCCAATGATAAACCTTTCCTGATTCAGCACATGTTGTTTTGGTTTTCAGGAGAAGAAGCTAGAGTTACAAGCACAGAAACTTGCCATAGCAAAAGAGGAACGAGAAATGCGGGATCTAGAGAAGAAACTGAAAATGAAGAAATCTCGAACATCACTGCCACAATCCTTCGTCAATGATGGCTTGGACTGTATCCTTTTTACAGATATTTCACTGACTGGACCTCACAAACATGTCACAAAATGTCACTAATATCTCACAGAACATCCAACATCTCACTCAGTTAACCTCTCTGATGTCAGTTAGAGAGCTCCTCACACAAAACATCTCATTTTTCCTTATCCTGACTCATGCTCTTTTGCTTGTCCCCTTCCTCCTGCGAACATAGTGGAACACTTGTATCTCCTTAATTGAAGCTCCCTTCAATGTAAAATCACTAATTGGTACTCACCCACGAGTTACCTCCCCTGCCGTAAGCTCGGGAACAGGTGTCGCCACCCTCTGGCCTCATGTTTCACTCTCTCCTTCTTCGCCCAGTGAGCAGGATGTGAGAGCGCCTGTGTCTCCTTACACACTATATCCTTTGGTTTTTCTTAGTTAGTTACCTTTTATAGTTTACTATAAAGGTATAGCTAGTATCCTTCAGTTATTTGCATTAATAATTAATCGTGATTTCTACTGTTTATTCAATGGAGTTCGTGATTGTTCAGCTAGTTTTACATTGATGAAAAACTGTACTATTTGTAGATTACGCTTTTCCGCCATGGATCCGCATGCGGTATGCCCTAGTTGTACTCACGCCTTGTGCGCTTGACTCACGCTGCAGTTACTGCATAAATTTAACCAATTCTGCCTTTGATAAATACCATCTTTGCGCCTTGAGACGTGTTGCAGATAGGTCACGCAAAACTAGGTGTAGATATGGCCGATACGCCGGATTGCCCATCCAGTCAACTGCTGTCGAAAGTGATCCTCCCCGCCTGGTGTTCTGCTTGAGACCCCATCGAAGAGGGACGGGATGCAGTCCGTCACCTCTAAGAAGCGACCGCCTCTCCAGACATCCAGTCATCGCAGACAAAGTCCAAGAGGGCCTCAACGCTTTCAACGCGAGACTTCGTGACACCCCAGGGCAGCGCCTTCCTCCAAAGGGAAATCTACGAAGTCATCGAGAACTTTCTCAGACGAGATCGCTCCAGCAGCAGAATTGGGCCTCTACGATGACCAGCCTATCATCATACCCGGCATACGCCACAAGAAGCTTACCAGTGACAGCGACAGTGACGCCAGCAGAGATCAACAAGCAGCCTGATGCCTCTACACTGATGTCAGACGAGATCGCTGAGGGCCCCACCGCTAACACAGCAGAAAGGGCACCATCTACTACGCCGCAGATCATCCCAAACGATCTTATGAAACAGATCATGATTATGATGGAAGGCCACTATAGACTGGAGAAGCAGCCATCCCAGGGTCCGAAAGCCTGCTGAAGGCTCCAACGTAGACAGCACCCCAGGGGCACCATCTGTCAACGTAGCAGCCACGACAAAGCAGCCTTCGCTAAGGAAGTCACAGACCACCTCGACGGCGGACCCAGATGTACAGCCTTCTCAAGGAAGGCCTTCGAAGAAGGCGGAAGAATCATCACCTTCTTCGGCGCCATACTCAGATATGGAATCTGATCACCAGACCACACGCAAGCCTTCGCTGGTCATATCATCGCTCCTCAGGACCGACGATATTTGGCTTCGCTGGCGTGCTCGCCAAGGACACCTGAACCCAGATCGCCTTCATCTAAAAGATCAGCAAGGGACTACAACAAGAGCTTCGCTGGCTATCAGTCCCCCTCATAGATCGCCAAGAAGGTCAACCTATCGATATAGATCACCAAGATTTATCACCTCGCCATCACCACGCCGATCACCTCACAGGTCTGCACATAAGCCTACAACTAGATCTCCACAAGCGCCAAACGATATAGAGATAGAGCCACACAGCCCTACATCAGAAGAGCAACAACCTCTTATCTATGATGATGGAATGGAAGATGATGGAGGAATTATTTTCTCAGATGCAGAGATAAGATATTGGATGGTCAATAATCTAGATCTCTCATCACCTTCCAAGAGTGGCAATAAGGCTAGACTTATCTGATGAAAGAAGATGACGAGATGCTATTACACTACCCCAATCGACCCGATTGGGCGGTACCTCAGAACCTAGATACAGCATTTAACAAAGCCACAAAGGTTCAGACGCCACATCTGCTAAATTTCAGCCAAGAAGTTCTCCACGATAATATGGAACCCTTCTTCAAAGCGCAAGACATCGATGAGAACTATAAGCTGATCTCCGATGCCAAGAACAAGTACTACAAGATTGATGATCGGAAATTGGTTCAGATAGAAACCATGACGAAGCGATGTTCTTCGGTCTAAATAGATCTAGAACAATAAATGAGACACTTATCTCCAGATTTCGAACACCACCTCTGAAGATGACAGAATGATTTACTCGGCCCTACTGATGCAAAAGAAGGACCAGCAGTTTTTAACAGATCATCTGACGCCTGTCTCAGCAGCACTGACCTTAGCTCGTCAGTCAAGGCCTCCTAGCTTCCTGCAACTGGGGTGAGAACTTTACAGCTCCACTATATACAGCCCCGCGGTCTTCCCCATCCATATTTGACGGAGGAATAGACACAGTCTCCAAAGAAGTCACCAAGGATTCTAGAGAAGTCCTGATGATTAAATCGATGGACACGCTTAGCCAGTGTCATCCGACAGACTTCACAAAGATACTCAGGGAGATCTAAATTCACGGGCCTACAAAGAGCTAGAGACAGGAAGATTGCCAGTTCCAGGGGAAGAGATTCTTTTCACGCCCATATGGCAACTATAGAGGAGGGTCAGGACGAGGCAGGACACCCAGAGGTTCCCGCAACTATAAACGCTGAAAGACAGGTTCGAACGACTGGAGTCTTCCACCCCAGCCGCTCCAGTACAACCGCCACAAGTGGGTGGACGCCTTCAACTACACTGGGAAAACTGGGGAATACTTCAAGACACCTATGTCTCCAACATTCTTCAACGCTGATTTCAGATCCCACTACAGGCCAAGCCTCCACTAACAGTCAACCCTCACAAGTTCGAGGTAGAGGCACAACAACTACTAAAGTTAAGAGAGGGCGGTTACATTACTCCTAACCAAGCAGGCCATAGAAGTAATAGAGCAAGGAAACATCGAACCAGGTTTCTACTCCCCAGTTTTCCTAGTACCCAAGAAGAACTCCAAGGAGAAATACAGACTCATTTACAACATGAGCTTCTTCAACAAGACTTACTTAAACAGACCACCCAGGTTCACTATGATACATCTACCGCAGCTACGGCAGATGATTCGCTTCCCATGGACTACATGGGCAGTATAGATCTACAAGATGCTTATCTGCACATCCCAATACATCCCGAATCCAGGAAATACCTTCGGCTTACGCTTAGACGGGTTACATTACCAGTGGAAAGTACTCCCATTCGAATAGCATCAGCCCCATGGTTATTCACGAGGATAACTAAACCGATTGTTATCTATCTACATCGTCAAGGGCTACGAGTAGTGCTTCTTCCTCGACGACGGGATACAAGTAGATCAAGATCCACAGCATCTCAAACTACAGTTAAACTACATCATAAAGCTACTAACACAGCTGGGATGGTTAGTAAACTTACACAAGTCGGACCTAGTACCATCGCAAGATCTGCAATTCCTAGGAACTGATTTATCACCAATCTCAACCGTATAGTCGTATTTACAGAAGACCGCTGGCTCAAGATCCAACAGATCATTCCACCAGCTCTACTGTCACCGCTACCACTTCGACAATGGCAGAGCTTACTAGGTCTTCTAACATCAGCCCAAGACTTGACAGTCATAGGCAGATTACAGTTACGTCCGTTACAGGTCTTCGCCAATACACATCTCGACGACCTACAACCATTCAGTCTACCGATACATCTCAGACCTCATCTATTATGGTGGACAAAGAAATCGAATGTCTGGCGAAGGGATTTGTTTAGCAGAGCAGGAATTCAAGACCCATCTATATGTAGACGCTGCCGCTCCAAGGTTGGGGAGCTCATCTCTCCAACCGACGGCATCAGGGTTATGGACTCAGCTAGAAAGCAAACTCCACATAAACGCATTAGAGATGAAAGCTGTAATCAACGCCATAAGACATTGGAGCAACATTCTACAGAATGCGCACCTGATGATACATACCGACAACCTCGACAGTGGCGCTTTATGTGAACAGACAAGGCTCAACGAGATCGCCGAACCTTTGAATTTAACCTTCAACTGTTCGAATTAATCCAAGATCTAAATCTACATGTCAAAGCATGCCACATTCCCCGAGCCAGGAATATACTAGCAGACGACTCTCTCGCCACATCTACCGTCGCCGACAGAATGGATGCTCAATACAGAGATATTTGCACAGATAATCAAGCAAATAGGAGCCGCTAGTAGATCTATTCGCCACAAGGTTCAACAATCAACTACCGACATTCGTGGTCACCAGTGCCAGACCCACAAGCATGGGCAACAGACGCTTTAAGCATTTCATGGAAGGCCTCAATGCGCATGCGCCGTTCCACCCCAGCAATAATACCTCTAGTATTACAGAAAATCAACCAAACGCAGAGCCTACAACTCACTTTGGTCTTCCTATTGGTCGGGCCAGAACGTGGTTTCCGCCTTTAATACAAGATATCGGTCAACCGCACTAGAACTACCTAAGCTGCAAACCTGTTAATACATCCTCACACCAAACAGGTGCACAGAAACCCAGAAGTATTCAAACTTCACGTATGGACTGTATTAAAATGTGTTTAAACAAGAGAGGATATTCTACCAGGGCTGCAAAAGCGGTCACGCTTTGCCTTTACGATACTCAACGCGTAACTTGTACGATGACAAGTGGCAAAGTTTCGAAAATTATGCAACAAACAAGGGTTTTATAGCCAGAGATGCTACGCGATCCTCAAGTGGCAGACTATTTGTGTTACTTTACGGCAAAACAAACATTTAAAAGGCTCGACATTGTCAACATATCTTGCGCACTTAGTTCTGTGATTTCTATGAGAACGGGTGTTAAATTAACAAGAACACCAGAGTTACTGGCCTTACTACGTGCTTTCCCGGATTGGAGGACCAAAAGCGAAATTCCACGCCCAGCTTGGGATCTGAATATAGTTTTACGACACCTCACAAGTGAGGATTACGAACCATTGGAATCGACAACGCTTTGAATTTCTCTCACAGAAAACAGTCTTCCTGTTATCGCTAGCCACGGCAGCCAGAATATCTGAAATTCATGCTCTAGATTATGAGAGGATACAGTTTGATGAAAATCAAAGACAGCGCACCTGGGATTAAGATGGGATTTCATCGCCAAAAATCAACTACCAGGTCAACCAGACAGGTTATTTCACATCCCTGCGCTATCCTCAATTCTTGGATCTCAAGATACATTGGACTTATCTCTATGCCCAGTAATGAGCCTCATAATCTATTTACGCCGTTTCCAAAACAAGGCTAAGATCGCCAGAAGATTGTTCATCCCGTTATCGCCTACAAATCAGACAGAAGTCTCTCGTACCACCATATCAATATGGATAAGAACTGTCATTTTACTACGCCTATAAGGCAGCAGGACTGGACCCTCCAACAGCATCAAATCCCCATGAAATCAGGGCATTGGCATCCACCCTAAGCCCTTCATGGTAACTGTTCATTGAATACAATTATGGAAGGATGCTTTTGGAAATCTAACATGGTGTTTGCTAATCACTATCTCAGAGATATCACCACCGAGGACGCCTCTGGCATTCATCATTTCGGTCCTTTGGTCCTCGCCAGCAATTGACAGTCCCTCGTAGGCGTTAATATTCACCCCCCACTCTAGATTATTACATATATGATACATATATTCACTAGCTTATAACTCCATGGAGTTCTAGGGCTATGTACATATTTAGCCTAGGTTATTCAACCTTAAGCTCATACTGAGTTATATTCAGTGTACAGCTAATGTTAGAGTAGCAGTTTATATATATATATTGATATATCAGTATATTAGTAAGGTAATACCCCACTTATAGTGTATATATCTATGGCTTATTATAAGGAAATATCCTAAGTCTCAATGCCTTATGAAGTTCCATGGGTTATTACAATATCACTTACTTAAATCACTAATTAATCCAAAGTATTCTGTTTACCCACCACCTCTCCGATTGGATTCTACAAACAAAGAGCATGAGTCAGGATAAGGAAAAATATGTAATTTTCTGAGTAAAATTGATATTTTATACTTATCCTGACTCATGAGGTTAGCTCCTCCCATCCTCCCACATAACACTTTGGATTTCCCTGTAAATTCAAGTGTTGGGCTCGCAAAATCAGGAGAGAGTGAAACATGAGGCCAGAGGGTGGCGACACCTGTTCCCGCGCTTACGGCAGGGGAGGTAACTCGTGGGTGAGTACCAATTAGTGATTTTACATTGAAGGGAGCTTCAATTAAGGAGATACAAGTGTTCCACTATGTTCGCAGGAGGAAGGGGACAAGCAAAAGAGCATGAGTCAGGATAAGTATAAAATATCAATTTTACTCAGAAAATTACATATTTCAAGAGGACATTGCAGCATGTTTGATTACTTCAAGTTCATGTGACTTCCCTGGACTAGTCAGCAATGAGAGTTGGTAAAATGCAAAACATTGCAAAGCTTTTACAAATGGTCATTCTACACTTCTGGGTAATACCACGTGATTCACAACTTTACTGTTATTTCCATTCATGTTTGTCAGACTTGTTTGAAGCCCTTGACTCCTTTGGCAAGGATAGCGTGGCTGACCTTGATTCGGGTCAAGGGTCAGGGTCAGAGCTGGGTGATTTGGGTAAGTTTTTTTCACTTAAAACATAAATGAAATATGCTGATGTTGAGTTGAGTTAGTGCTTTGACATTGGAAGGTTGCGGGTTTGATCCCCGGCCACGTCTTACCAAAAGATGTTAAAATATGGTACTTGTTTGTCCCTGCCTGGCGCTCGGTATTAATGGGTACAACAAGGACTGGTTGGCTCGGAGTCAGTATAATGTGTCTGAGTGCGGTATTCATGATTAACTTCGGCATGGTATCTCAGCGAGCTGGCACTATAAAACCAGCTTAAGTCTGGGCTAGTACAAGCAGCCGCACATACACATGCATGCACGTCGTCATATGAGCGAAATATTCTTAAGTACAGCAGTAAACCCCATTTCACCTCACAGCTAGTGCTTTGATAAGTTTTTCTTTTCTCAAACCATTTACTGTCCATAAACATGCCATAGTTGTTCAAATAGTTAACCAGCACAATGTCTTGTAAATGATGGGAGGTTCCGTGGCAGCTACACAGATCAGGGAGATCACACTTTATGTTAAGGGTGTATTATCAGTAGTGTTTATGGTCGTCTTATATCTCACAGATGAGGATATTCCCAGTGGTTCTGAAGATGAAGAATCTGACGAAAATGATCTGATTGATGACAGTGACATGGATGATGATGATGATGACGTCAATGGCGATGATGGAAAAAATATTGAGGTTGTAATGAACGAAAATGAACCAAAACCGAAGTCTATTCTGAAGGAGAAAAATTTAAGACAAGGCCAGCATGAAGCAAGGACGTTGAAATGGCAAGGAAGTGACTCTGAAGACAGTGATAGTAGTGAGGAAGATGGTGGGCATAACATTCAAAGTTCAAAAAGGAAAAAAGATGAGGAATCAGACTCAGGTGATGAACAAACTGAAGTGAGTAAAACTTCTAAAAGGAAAAGGCAAAAAGTTGATAATATGAAAGGTAAAGAAGTCTTAAAGAAACAAAACAATGACAAGGAAAAGTCAGAAGTACACACAAGGACATCTAAGAAAACTGATAAAGTGAACTTTGAGGACAACGAATCTGAAAGTGGTGGATGTGACAGTGATGATGATAGTGATGATGATGATGATGATGATGATGAAGAAGATGACACTGGTGTTGATGATAGCGAGGGTGATGATGATGTTGATGAGGACAATGATGTTGATAATGATAGTGAGGGTGATGAGGATAGTGATGATGATAAAAATGATGATAAAAATGGTGATGAAGATGCAGCCACCTTACGTGAAGACATCTATGGACGAACTATAGACAAGGATGGCAATGTGGTTAAATCTAGTGTATCAGGATCTTACATCCCGCCAGCAAAACGCGCCATGTTGGAAGGGAATTCTGGGAAGAGGAAGTTGATGTTGGAACGTATCAAGAAACAGCTGAAGGGGCTGATCAACAGGTGAGTGGATATGTGATGATGTTCATTGATTTAATACTAAGCTTGTCACTGTTATTGTCTTTTCATTTGTTTGTTTGCTGTTTAACGCTGCACTCAGCATTCCAGCTATATTTGAAAAACATGTCAAGTATCGAGAACACCACCACCCTATCCTACCCCTCCCAAGAAATATATAACACAACCATCCCATCCCAAACAAAAAAGCAAACATCAAGAACAAAAACAAAAACAAATTAAAAAACTTTCTTTCTTTTTTAACAAAACCCCACACTTCCAAGAAATATTTACCACAACCATCCCATCCCAGACCCAAACAAGAAAAACAAACATCAAGAACAAAGCAAAAACAAATTAATAAATCAAATTTCTTTCTTTTTTTAGAAAAAAAACACACGTTAAAGGTGGTCTTCTCACTCATGAGAACATCTGGTATGGACATATGTTAGATGAGGTTTCACATTTCAGATCATGATCAGCTTATCAGAACGAAAACATAAATGACCGATTATTATATGTTTCCAAGAAACAAGTATGAACACAGGACTATAACTGCTGCTAAAGTGATGAGTCATCAAGCGTGAGTGTGTAAATACACAGTGAGTGAGTATGGTTTTACGACGCTTTCAGCAATGTTCCAGCAACATGACGGGGGGACACAATATTGTAATAGTAAACATTTGAGATCGAAGCTTTGGTTGTGGCGAACACATTGCCAGATTTTGGCTGATCTCTCCAATTCTTATGATTTAAGACTGAATAGGACTTTGTCAAATGTTCGGTAGTAACGGAACAGAAACACATGAGTGGGTGAGGGAGTGAGTTTAGTTTTACGCCATACTCAGCATTATTCCAGCTATATGGCGGCGGTCTGTAAATAATCGAGTCTGGACCAGACAATCCAGTGATCAACATCATGAGCATCGATCTGTGCAATTGGGAGTCAGCGAGCCTGAACACCCAATCCCTTTCTAACCTGGATCTTCATGGGTTTATTGTCTTTTCAAGCCAAAATTAACTGGTATGTTCGAATTAACTGGTTCAATTTGAAAAGGGTTCATATTTCATTTACATAATTTTCAAACATTTTCAGTATTTTGTGTTTTGATTTTCAGAGCAAGTGAAGCAAATATGCAGCCAATCAGCTCTCAGATAGAAGATATCTACATGTCCAACAGCAGAGCAGATGTCAATGAGCTCCTTACAGGGTTGTTACTGGAAGCTTGTATTGCTCCAGTACTGACACCAGAGAGACTGTGTTTGGAGCTTGCGATGTTGGTCGCTATTTTACATGGAAATGTTGGTATAGAAGTTGGTGAGTTTTAATGAATCCATTTCTAAATGCAAACATCTACTGAAAGTACATCCTCAGTTGTGTGCCATTTTGTTACTGTTTTGTTTCCTGGAAGCATTCTCTACGATAGCTTCATGTTGGAACCCCTTTGACACAACCCTATGAATAACCACTGAGTCAGTCAGGGAATGCCCTGATGATGAAGATGAAATCTTGAGTACTTGATGCAATCTCTGTTGGAAATGAGTTTGGTTTTATGCTGCTTTTAGCAATATTCCAGCAATATCACAGCAGGGGACACCAGAAATGGGCTTCACACATTGTACCCATGTGAGGAATCGAACCCAGGTCTTCGGCATGACGAGTGAACGCTTTAACCACTAGGCTACCCAACCGCCCCATTTCACACAGGAAACTGTTGAAGCCATCAAGTCCATGTTGATTTTATCAAGGAGATTTAGTGTAAACGAGGGTGATACAGTCGTTTAAACATACCAATGAAAATATAACTTCCTTCAGGGGCGTGCTTCCTGCAGCGTGTTGTACAAGAGTTTGATGCCAGGTTCAAGGTCAGCGGTCACAGTGAGTCCAAGGAGATGGACAACATTGTTGTTCTGCTGGCGTGTCTGTACAACTTCAAGGTGAGCTGTTCTTGATTCTCTCTACCAGTATGTCTCTCGGGCTAGAATAGATCCTTGGTCTCTAGTCATTGTATCCCAATTGCGTAGATCGATGCTCATGCTGTTGATCACTGGATTGTCTGGTATAGACTCGATTATATACAGACCACCGCCATATAGCTGCAGTATTGCTGAGTGCGGAGTTAAACAACCAACCAACAGACCAATCGTGGTCTCTTCCAGTATCTAGGTGTGTAAATAGGTCCGGGCTGAAGTCCCTTCCAGTATCTAGGAGAGTAAATAGGTCCAGGCTACAGCCCCTTCCAGTATCTAGGAGAGTAAATAGGTCCGGGCTAAAGTCCCTTCCAGTATCTAGGAGAGTAAATAGGTCCGGGCTAAAGTCCCTTCCAGTATCTAGGAGAGTAAATAGGTCCGGGCTAAAGTCCCTTCCAGTATCTAGGAGAGTAAATAGGTCCGGGCTAAAGTCCCTTCCAGTATCTAGGTGTGTAAATAGGTCCAGGCTAAAGTCCCTTCCAGTATCTAGGAGAGTAAATAGGTCCGGGCTAAAGTCCCTTCCAGTATCTAGGTGTGTAAATAGGTCCGGGCTAAAGTCCTTTCCAGTATCTAGGTATGTAAATAGGTCCAGGCTTAAGTCCCTTCCAGTATCTAGGTGAGTAAATAGGTCCGGGCTAAAGTCCCTTCCAGTATCAAGGTGTGTAAATAGGTCCGGGCTAAAGTCCCTTCCAGTATCTAGGAGAGTAAATAGGTCCGGGCTAAAGTCCCTTCCAGTATCTAGGAGAGTAAATAGGTCCGGGCTACATTAGGTCCTCGGTCTCTATCATCATCAAGGCATCTTCTTGATGATATGTTAATGTTATGTGTGATGTAAATACCTAATGATTAGTTTAGTGTACATTTCATTTTACAATGTTTCATGTAGGTTTCAATGATGTTATTCAAGTGTTATGTCAGGCCCTAGTGATCTTGGTGCTAAGGTATTTGTTAGATGGATGTATGTGTCATGTTACAGATTCTCCAGAGCTCACTGCTGTTTGACGTGGCACGGAGGTTCATCAAGAGGTTCCAGGAGAAAGACATCGAGCTTCTCTTGCTTCTGTTGAAGAGTAAGTCAAGACTTTGAATAAAGAAAACTCCAGTCTGAGTTCAATGAGACCTTCACTCTGATTAGATACTAGCTCAGTCAAGATGAGACCCGTGAAGATCCGGGGTAGAATAGGTCTTCAGCAACCCATGCTTGCCCCAAAAGGTGACTATGCTTGTTGTAAGAGGCTCGTGAAGACTAACGGGATCGGGTGGTCAGGCTCACTGACTTGGTTGACACATGTCATCGGTTCCCAATTGCGCAAATCGATGCTCATGCTGTTGATCACTGGATTGTCTGGTCCAGACTCGATTATTTACAGACCGCCGCCATATAGCTGGAATATTGCTGAGTGCGGCGTAAAACTAAACTCACTCACTCACTCAGTCAAGATGATGTATTATTGAGGTAGTCGTTGTGTTTTTAATTTATTCAGATCAAATTTCAGAACTAGTGACAGGTACTTTGTTGGCAGTGAACTGTGGTGGCCTGGTTATGAGGGAGGTCAAATCAGAACACATCTGATTGGCTTTGAAATCTTTCAGTTTGATTGGATGAACTAACCAGAAGTTAGCCAGATTTTATTATTAAGATGTTAAGAGAAAAGTCAACTTCACATACTCAAGTTCTGCCACACCACCAGTGATGATATGTCTTCAAAAGTTAAATCATCCTGTCAACCGTGTCATACTTTGGTCTGTTTCTGAGTGGGGGATGGTATAGTTTCAAGATCTGTCAAACCACAAGATATTGCATGTCTTCAAGAACTCAACAATATGGCCATACATTTCAGTTTTGTTTGTTTTTGAGTGGGGGATAATGGTAACATAAGTGTGTTATTCTCCACACCACTTCCCTGATCATAAGTATATGATGCTTATCACCCTCCTTCCTAGATGCTGGCTTCAGTTTGAGGAAGGATGACCCGGCTGGTCTGAAGGACCTGATCCTGGAGATCCAGACCGCTGCCGGATCACCAGACGCATCCCAGGACAAGTCTCGCATCCGCTTCATGCTGGACATCCTGCTGGCCATCAAGAACAACAACATGAGGAAGATCCCCAACTACGACCCCGAACACCTGGAACACCTGCGCAAACTCGTCAGGAACTACATCAAAGGTAAGATCTCTTTATTGGTGTTAGCTTTAATTTACAGGTAATTGTACAACTGAATATTGGTACCAGCACACATACACAAACTTTATATTCAAAGAACAAAGAACTTGAAATCCGTAAGTCAACCCAATCTTAACCAATGGCCCCTGTCACATTTGATACATATTTGCTTTATTTTCTATCAGTGTAGATTGTTTCTTATTTTGTTGTATTGGCCCTATCATCAAGGTGCTGAAATTACAGTGCAGAGTTATGTCCCTTTGTAGCACAGAGATCTGCTGAATCTGATCTAAACTTAATGAGATTGTCAGTCAGTAATTTATTGCACAATGATGTTACCACAGTCAAGGTGCTTGATTGTAGTTTCTGATGGTTCACCTAATTTGTACATTTTTCAAATCATGATGTTACGTTTATCGTATTAGATTATCATGGTTATTACATCTGTAACACTATCCAGTATGTGATATCATTCTGTATACCCATATACTTCCTATGGCTAACAAAGACACAATGATATTGTTGTTATACAGATGGAGGTCTGGGCAGCAACCAGCTCAACATTGGCCTAGAAGATCTGCTGAAGGCCGAGGAGAAGGGAAGATGGTGGGTGGTTGGCTCGGCCTGGAGTGGGCGTGAGATGGAACGTACCACACAATGTAAGTTTCAAGGATTTCAGATGGTGGGATCTTTGGCCATGTAGCCTTGTAACACAATTCAAGCAGAGTTGTACTACCTCTAAGGCAATGACTGAGTTCTCATAATTTGGAATATTCTTGAACTAGAGTTCCTTAGAGTAAATATGACACTTCTAAACATTATTTATCCTTGTGAAGAGTTCAGGCTGAATATATCCCTATATCCCATATCTACTGGTGCATCAGCTGATAATCCATTCTCTCTTCCAGCAGCCTCCACATCAACTTTCTCAGTTTCCAACGTGATGAACGAAGCCAGCTCACAGTTGATGGAGCTGGCTCGCAAACAGAGGATGAACACCGACATCAGGAAGACGATATTCTGTGTCATCATGACCAGCGAGGTGACCATCACATGTTGTGTTATATTCTTTACGTATCTCCAATGACCACACATTGTTGTAAATGTACTTCTCAACTTTAGATTAGGATACTCTGAATGTGGCGGGGACTGAATGTGACTGATTGGCTAGGTGAAGTTGTCACACAAGTAGTATTGAATACTACCTTAGGACATTTTCAGCATTATTTAAAAAGAGGGGTGGTAGGGTAGCCTAATGGTTAAAGTGTTGGCTCGTCACACCGAAGACCCGGGTTCGAATCCCCACATGGGTACAATGTGTGAAGCCCAAGTCTGGTGTCCCCCCCGCTGATGTTGCTGGAATATTGCTAAAAGCGGCGTAAAACCAAACTCAGTCAGTATTTAAAAGAAATCATTAGTAATTAAAACACCTTTATCTTTCTTCTAAGTTTTGGTGGATGAAATATCTCAGTGTCCCTTCCGTGAATTGAGTAGTATTTGCCATCCATTATGGAGTTGTTACCATCAAAGTTTTATGCCTGTATGTTCTTCCAACCTCAGTTAGACTCATAGTCTCCTTAACCTCGTTATTTTGACTTCCACCTAGTGCTGTCAGTAATGCAGATGTTCTGATTGAAGCAAGTCTAGATTTCCTCAGGTTCAATCTCCCATCTCACTGGGGTTCATTTTCATTTCAAATGTACTAGCTTTTTACCAACATACTATGTTTTCATAAACTAAGAGTTAGGGACCGTTCATAATTTATGGCTTGGGTGTGGGTGTGGGGGTAGGGGTGTTTTCACCTATTTTGTTGGGGTGGGGTCACCAGTTTTGTACACAGGTACTAGGAGGAGGAGGGTCATCAATTTTGTACATAAAAATATTATGCTTAAAAATTATGGGAAGGGGGAGGGAGGTAATTGATTTTGTCACTTACTTTGTACGTAAATTTTAGAGGGGTCATTCACATTGTACATGCTCCTGCATAAAAATCATCACCACCCCTCCTTGCCATAAATTATGAACGGTCCCTTAGTCTATTCAACCTCTAAATGATATTCAAGACTTGATATTAAAGATGTATTCCCATCTAAGCTCCCATCTTCCTCAGGAATAGGGGCAGTGAGGAGCCCAGAGGCTGAACTATTTGCTTGTCACGCCGAAGACCCGGGTTCGATTCCCCACATGGGTACAATGTGTGAAGCCCATTTCTGGTGTCCCTCGCCGTGATATTGCTGGAATATTGCTAAAAGCGGCGTTAACCCAAACTCACTCACTCCTTGATGAAGAAAGTCATGTGTCACCTTGTTGGCGAGTGAACTGTGTTGATGTAGTCAGTGATCGTTGTTGTCAGGATTTCATTGATGCGTTTGAGAAGTTGCTGAAACTGGGTCTGAAGCACCAACAAGAAAGGGAGATAATCCATGTGATCCTGGACTGCTGTCTCCAAGAGAGGAAGTACAACGCGTTCTACGCCTTCCTTGCTCAGAAGTTCTGTGAGTTCGACAGGCGGTTCCAGGTCAGTCCTTTTGCATCGTTATTTATTGTATTACCATGGACCCATTCTTTAACATCCAGTTCAACCTGACACCAGGTGTTCCTTAACTTGTTTTAGTGGTATATGTTGGTGATGATGTGCTTGTATGCTCTTCCTCCCAGATGACGGTGCAGTTCAACCTGACACCAGGTGTTCCTTAACTTGTTTTAGTGGTACATGTTGGTGATGTGCTTGTATGCTCTTCCTCCCAGATGACGGTGCAGTTCAACCTGACACTAGGTGTTCCTTAACTTGTTTTAGTGGTACATGTTGGTGATGATGTGCTTGTATGCTCTTCCTCCCAGATGGCGGTGCAGTTCAACCTGACACCAGGTGTTCCTTAACTTGTTTTAGTGGTACATGTTGGTGATGATGTGCTTGTATGCTCTTCCTCCCAGATGACGGTGCAGTTCAACCTGACACCAGGTGTTCCTTAACTTGTTTTAGTGGTACATGTTGGTGATGATGTGCTTGTATGCTCTTCCTCCCAGATGACGGTGCAGTTCAACCTGACACCAGGTGTTCCTTAACTTGTTTTAGTGGTACATGTTGGTGATGATGTGCTTGTATGCTCTTCCTCCCAGATGGCCGGTGCAGTTCAACCTGACACTAGGTGTTCCTTAACTTGTTTTAGTGGTACATGTTGGTGATGATGTGCTTGTATGCTCTTCCTCCCAGATGACGGTGCAGTTCAACCTGACACTAGGTGTTCCTTAACTTGTTTTAGTGGTACATGTTGGTGATGATGTGCTTGTATGCTCTTCCTCCCAGATGACGGTGCAGTTCAACCTGACACCAGGTGTTCCTTAACTTGTTTTAGTGGTACATGTTGGTGATGATGTGCTTGTATGCTCTTCCTCCCAGATGACGGTGCAGTTCAACCTGACACTAGGTGTTCCTTAACTTGTTTTAGTGGTACATGTTGGTGATGATGTGCTTGTATGCTCTTCCTCCCAGATGACGGTGCAGTTCAACCTGACACCAGGTGTTCCTTAACTTGTTTTAGTGGTACATGTTGGTGATGATGTGCTTGTATGCTCTTCCTCCCAGATGACGGTGCAGTTCAACCTGACACTAGGTGTTCCTTAACTTGTTTTAGTGGTACATGTTGGTGATGATGTGCTTGTATGCTCTTCCTCCCAGATGACGGTGCAGTTCAACCTGACACTAGGTGTTCCTTAACTTGTTTTAGTGGTACATGTTGGTGATGATGTGCTTGTATGCTCTTCCTCCCAGATGACGGTGCAGTTCAACCTGACACCAGGTGTTCCTTAACTTGTTTTAGTGGTATATGTTGGTGATGCTTGTATCCTCCTCCCCCTAGATGACGGTGCAGTTCAACCTTTGGGACAGGTATAAGGAGATGGGGAGTCTGTCTCAACACAATCGGGACAACCTCGCCTCCCTGATCTCTCACCTCCTGCTCAAGAAGGGTCTGTCTCTCTCCGTCCTCAAGGTGCGTACAAATATTACAAAATGTGTATTCAGTGTTAACTATGTCATTTGTATATGTGTTTGTTTTGTAAATATGAATTTTTTGGGTGTCATCTGTGACAAAAGTTTTAGTTTCATGTTCCATGACAGCTCTAGGCCCCTCAGGTAACTTGGGCTAGTCCCCTTCTCTGGACATCTGGCAAACCACTTAATGTGTCCTCACATCCAATTTAAGAATTCTTGAGTAGTATCAGTTCCCACACCTGGCCCCAGAAAATTGGATTGAGACTACACTGAGAATGCATGACTTCTTTGAATGACATTTAGAAGCTGGTATGATGGAGAGGAACACTTTTTATGGATAAACAATTTCTGTATTGCAGTAGATGCGACGTTTTGGTGTAGATCCTAACACTGTTACCTAGCAAAGGATTTTTAAAGAAGTTGTCTATCTATAAAAGTGTTCCTTTTGAGAAAGCATAAGTTTACTTGTCACTCTTTGCAAGAGAAAAAGTCAAAAATGAAATTTCAACGTTAAAACCAGGTATCAAATATGCATTTCATGGCATCCAGTATTATGTGGATAAAACAAGGACTATCAGTAACCTGTGTGAGTGGGGTATCCATGTTAGACTGTAGCATGGTATCTCATGCAGGTGTTTGTCTGGACTAGTGCAGGTACACATATACATGTACACACTCACAACTTTTGAGTGAGTATGGTTTTACGCTGCTTTTAGCAATATTCCAGCAATATCACGGCGGGGACACCAGAAATGGACTTCACACATTGTACCCATGTGGGGAATCAAACCCAGGTCTTCGGCGTGAAGAGCGAACGCTTTAATGACTAGGCTACCCTACCGCCTCTATACATCTTTTGAAATGCAGCGATCTTAAACCCCATATCACCTCACCTTACCACACCGCTTTTCTCACCATCATCAGGTTGTGGAGTTTGGCACCCTGGAGAAGCCGATGGTGAGGTTCCTAAAGTCGCTGTTGATGTCGCTCCTTACTGCGGCAGACCAGGACGAGATGGTGGCAGTTTTCCAGAGAATCGCACCCCTCCACAAACTCATCCATGTGCAGGAAGGACTCAAACTGTTTATGCAGCACTTTCTTTTACGAGGGAAAGGGAAAGTGGAAATTGAAGATCTAGAGGAACTCCAAAGGCGAATTAAACTTGCAGAGAAAACACTGAGTCTGGGACAGTCCAGCATGTTGTTGTGATTCTCCCTCCGAAAAGTTACTATTAAATATGTTGTTTCAAAAAATTAGTGTCATTGTAAATATTGTGGTATATTCCGGCAATATCACGGCAGGGGACACCAGAAATGTGCTTCACACATTGTACCCATGTGGGGAATCAAACCTGGATCTTCGGCGTGACGAGCAAATGCTTTAACCACTAGGCTACCCCACCGTCCCAGAACTAGGATTGAGGAGGGATGTGCCTGAATGTTCAGCTAGTAACATGTCTCCAATCTGACACTTCGCAATTAACAAACATGAAGACAAAGTCATCAATATCCCCCGCAATGGCAAAATACTCTTCATGATTATGTCTACGAGTTATGATTATGTCAGATATTTAGGTGTGTATACAGAAAAGTGGAAGGAGAGTATTGAAAGGTTTTCCAGAAAGCAGCACTATCACCAATTTCAGGCTAAGTCAAACTTGTTGCCATGGAAATGCCAAAAATATTTTATTCGGAAATCCAAAACTACCAAAAGGCACCAGTACACCACCAGACCAATCTATGTGCAAAGTTTGGTGAAGACATATTGAATGGTTTTAGAGTTCTGCTCTGGAAAAGAGCACTACCACTAATTTCAGTCAAAGTCGAACTTGTTGCCATGGAAACGCCAAAAATATTTAATTCAGAATTCCAAAACTACCAAAAGGCACCAGTACATCACCAGATCCATGTATGTGCCAAGTTTGGTGAAGAAATATTGAACAGTTTTAGAGTTCTGCTCCGGAAAAGACAAATGTGCACGGACGGACGGACGGACGGAGCCCATTTTAATACCCCAAAACGCGTCTCGGGGGATAATTATTAGCAAGTTCACAAACTACAGATTTATTTTGATTGAGTTTACTTAAGAAATTCAAGAACATCAGATTCAGTACATGTGCGGATCTGCATCACCTACTGACTTTTCTCTGTATCAAAACTGAAGCGCTGTGAGAAAATATTGTCACTTTTCACAACAAAGACATGTATAGGTTTTATGTTTTTAATCTTTGATAATTACTTAACATCTATCATGTATTATATATAATGGCTATAGTAATCAACATCACAGATGACAGAAATGGAATTGAAATGAGTAAAAGTCAAAGTTCATCACAACAATCTATACAAAGTCACAACAATCACAGATGAGCCTTACGCTGACACAGCGATACTGCCGACACAGCGATACTGCTGACATGTCTACCTCCAGGACAGGTCACCCTGACCTTCACCTCCCTACTCTTACTTATGCCTACTGAGCCAAAATGTCTCCCCTTCTCGTTACAAGAGGTCCCCCTGATTGCCAGCATTATGACCTAACTCTTAGCAATAAATTCCATGATGTTAATACAAAAACTAATGTTAGGTCCTGATGTTAAAACACTTGGTGATGTTAAACGATAACTGTGTTATGCAAGAACAACATCCCCTGTAACAGCTGCAGCTGCATCAAGGCCCATCTGTCCAACATCACATACGATTCACATCACTATAGAATTTACCTTCCATGTTACCATGGTAACAATTAAAATATTCCTCTTTACATGACTTCACGTTTATCACTTCAAGGTCCTTGTGTACCATCCACTCAATTACAGTAGAGCTGTCATGATTGAGAACACACTGCCTATCGAACACATAGTTTGAGCAGAAGACTCAAGTCTACTTTAAGTATATCAACTTGGATATTTTGCATACATGATCAAATTCAGTGATAAATATATTTAACAAGGAAGCAGTTATATTCAGCAGAACATACTGAAAGTATTTTGCATGTGGTATAGAATTTTGTACAAGAACAAGGTGACGGACAGGTTAAGCAGCGTTTACACAAGTAAAGAAAAACGTGTATCAATTGTAAACTTGCTACAGAGATCTGGTAAGTTGGGAAGTGTCTGCAGTACTGCAAATATAGCAAACATGCTGTATTCGCGTATCATCATACGATCTATCCCACAAGGCCTCCTAAAAGAAGGCATCAGCATCAGCACCAGCACCTACTCCAACAGCATTCAACAGCACCTACTCCAACGGCAAACACTGGTAGCTTTGTGAAGTGGCTGAATACCATGAAATGATTTTTGATCTTCATCTGACATAGGAGACCAAACGTTTATATTCTGTTTAAGATGCAGGATATTTATTTGGTCACAGCTTAAAACAAAGAAATGTTTTCAGAACAGTTATTTTTTTACAGTTTTCAATTTACATTATTTTCATGGCTTAGCATTTCGAGCGAACAATTTATTTAGTTTGGTGAAACCATATTATAGATATTAATATTTAAGTATTTTCTGTAACAAGTTATTTATTAAACTAATCCCAGGCTGTGGTTCATCCCTAAGTCATTTACAGCATATCAGTTCAGGGCCTCTATAATAGTTCGATCTTAATATCACAGTGATCTTAGTCCAACCATCTAACTTAGGCTTATCATAGTCTGAGATGACACTGGCACCCTCGTGATCGGTGAGGTAAGATTGCCCTGTATCAGCATGAACTGACAGTGATTACGAAACCATTTAAATACTAGTATCCGTTTCTACAAACTCCATGCTTGGAAGAGATAAAAATGTCCAGAATCACAAATGTACATTTCTGTAAGCAATATATGTTTGTATAGTTGCAGTAAGTCCTCTATGGGTCATGTACACGTTAGTTCCAAGATGTACTTATATGAAAACTAATGCCTGATAAGTTATATTTTGGCACAGTGGGTGTCCCCAAAATAAGCAGATAAGCTACCATGTACACATGGAGGTCATGCCTCCATCATTCATCCGATAGATCACCACATCTAATGGCCCGTCGTGAACAAATCACAAGATGGCTATCCCTACCTGCCTCACTACCAACACGCCGTCCAACATCAGTATATTCTCCTCAGCTACCATAACGAAGAAATGTGCTACATGTTTCCTTTGCTTTCATGACGAAGTACACCATTGATCTATCAGACATTTATGCAGATGTGTATGACTTCCATTCACAAATTACAATCCACAGATGTGTCTCAGCTCCCGTTTGTAAATTTTAAGTGGATGTCTACTCATCAATGTAATTAGTGTTCCTTCCCCAATTATGTCGGCCCAAATGATCAGCTCCAACATTAAATCTGGTATCAACACCCTCGGTGTTGAGTAATGGTCATCTCTTCTGCAATCTATGACACTGATTTTAAGGGTCATTTGGTCATGAAGCTATACACGGAATGAAGAAATGACAATTCAAATGGTTCCAGTCACACCTTTCAGTTTACAAACTTCAAGATTTTCAAGATCCTTTGACTTGAAATGGGCTTCAAAAAAAATAATTTGTATGCAGGAAGGAGTTTCTGGATAAACAGTGTCTGGACTAGTCCGGTTAAACTGTAGTTGAATGAAGAAAGGACACCAGAGTTATTTTCACTCATACATTTTGGTGATGGACTCAGTAACTGAGCTGAGCTTGACCATGAGATAACGTACGAGGGAAGAAATATCTGTTACTGGCCTAGATTCAAGGTTTGAGAGATCGTAATCCTTTGACTTCTTTCATGATTAATTGATCGAACACTGATTACATTGATGCAGTAGCAGAGCCTCTGAAATATTAATGCATGATTGTAAAAATAGATCAATTATAATCCTTTTGTGATTTTAGATATAAACATACTGAAACCCTGAAAATACAACTATTTGTTTCCATAGTCTGTTTCCATGACTTCCTGAATGTACACAACGGATGTGACTGTGCTGCCCAACCAGTCAGAAAATCAGGGAACTGTAAGATATGACTTTCAAACAGGAGCATTAAACCACAGAAAACAGTTTATCGAACAGTATATGTTCAGTTGATTTTATAAGTAGGAGCTGGTAACACAAGTCAGCATTGTGAGTGAGTGAGTGAGTGAGTGAGTGAGTTTAGTTTTACGCCGAACTCAGCAATATTCCAGCTATTTGGCGGCAGTCTGTAAATAATCAAGTCTGGACCAGACAATACAGTGATCAACAGCATGAGCATCAATCTACACAACCGGGATACGATGACATGTGTCAACCATGTCTGTGAGCCTGACCAACCGAACCCGTTAGTCGCCTCTTACAACAAGCATGGTTACTGAAGACAAATAAGAAGACATGTCCAAACACTAAAAGTAATGTCCTAAGTATAGTATACTGTCGTTAATCCGACATTTGTGGTTGCAGAGAAATATGTCGGATTAACGAAAATGTATACTGACAGTCATTTTGTTGTTATGGCAACTCCAATTCTTTTCTTCAGGGGAAGAAAAAAGATATCTCTCATAGACTGTTTGATCGTCAGCTGTAACATGCCCTGTTAATAGTAGTGATAGCTCTGATTCTGACACACTGAGCGGCATAAGGACAATGCATAACGTGGACATGGTGACGTTTTATGTACACAATGAGACGTGAGATTACACAGCACGGACTGAAGCCTATGTACAACTTCATACATCAACAAACACAACATTGACTTCTTGTTCTGTAAAAGTCATTTCATCAATATGATAAAACAAACAAAATAAATTGGCAATTAATATCCATAACCCTTTCATTTTGCATTATATCTCATAATTATTTATCACAGGACAAAATTTGCATTTGATATAAATATCTTTGTAATACATAATTTTGTTTTTACTTCATTCTGACATTACAACAAATTTTTCTTTTTATCACTTTTCAAACAGAGAAACATTTCAAAAAGGGAAATTTATTTGGTCATGATTCAATGTATCTTTTACACCAATATCTCAGGTCTGTTTATTATTATATCAGAGAGTTGGCCGTGATTCAAAAAGAGAAATTGATTCGGTCATGATTCAAAAAGAGAAATTGATTCGGTCATGATTCAATGTATATTTTACACCAATATCTCAGGTCTGTTTATTATTATATCAGAGAGTTGGCCGTGATTCAATGTATATTTAATATCAATATCTCAGATCTGTTTATTATTGTATCAGAGAGTAGAAAATCAAACTCCAGCATGTTCCTACGGTTACCCTGTGCAGCTATGGATGTTTGTGAGTGACATCTAAATACAGAATGATATTAATGATGATCTTGCGTACATATTATGCAAATTCATGTCAGCTTGGATTATCTGAATGGCTGCATAGCATCATGTAGTCTGTAGGTGACAACATACTGCATGTTGTAATATCATCAGTGTGCACGAAAAATCTATGAAACAAAAATATTTGAATTGGGACACCTTTGATTATCCAGTGCTTCATGCTGCTATTCTATGATGATAAATACATGTATCATGCTTGATGGGATAAGTCTACTTAGAGATAAAACTGAAGCAGTTTACCAGGTACAACTAATTGACTCAGGCTGCTTGCTGTGACTCTCGCTTCACAGATCTCAAGTGTCGCTTCCATCCTTATTTTAGTTGGGTTAGTTGATAGGTTCAGTGCTGAGTGAAATCTGTAACGGTAAGCCCAGTAGACGTGCACTCCTGCATGGAAAGACCCGGTTGTATGAGGACTCTTCCCCTATCTTAGTATTAATGTAAACATCATTTTCAGGTTAATGTCTACTAATAACAGCACTGGCAGGATAAGGATGGGCTTGGGGGTTATATGCACACACCTCAATTTTCCCAAATATTGCATCAGGATCTTGTAAAGGAGGTCTGATTGTAAACTCACATATAATGTTCATTCTGATTGTACAGGTGGGCCTGACACATAAAACACTGGATAACCATGGATGTAATGTGAGAAGCCATAACATATCTATTCTAACTATAAAACTAGGTATTTTGTTGTTCTCAAACTAGAGTGATCATAATTTAAAGAATGATGGAAATATCTTGAACTGTTATTGCCGAACACAAGCCTGTGTTGTATGTACACAAATATGTCTGTGTAATTGGTCGATGGACCTGTAGTCTCTACAGTCTTGCTACCTTGCAATGCTAAAGGGAAACATAGGGTGGCTACACCCCTCACTGATACACAAAGTCTTGACACAATAATGCTGCAGCACATATCAACAGTTAATATCAACTAGTTACGAAAATATACACAGATTCTTCATCTGCAAATTGAAGCTAAGTAGAAACAAGAAAGGGTTAAACTTGGACGAGCCAAACACCTGACTCCATGTAAAGTCGAAACAGGTGAAACAGTTAAACATTGTGAAGCAGTTTCACACAACCTCTAACCTATACGTGTCTGATAGATTAAAGTAGAAAACGTTCATCCTTAACTCAAACATGACATACCACTAGTATAAACTAACATCCAGTATCTACCAGAGTTCTGGTGTTCTTCCTCAATGTCAGTACTTCACGGGTATTCACACCATGTTCCTCATTCACCATGAATACAAACTCGGCTTTACGGAGAAGCTATTTCTAATAATCAGTCAAGGTCAGGTGATATTGAAAGCAGCTCGTACTCAGAACAATGACGTCCTCACACACGAGACACTGTTTTGTAATTCAGTTGCTGTTTTTAACAAATCAATGTAAGTCAGAGTCTTGCAAGAAGGAAATCAGCTCGTACTAAGCAGTGAGTGAGTTTAGTATTATTCCAATTTTAGTTATTTTCCTCCAATATCACATCAGGGGACACCAGAAATTGGCTTCACACATTTGTATCCATGAGGGGAATCGAACCCAGGTCTTCAGAGTGATGAGCGAACGCTGTACCCAGTAGGCTACCCCATCGCCCCACCTTATAGCATCACTAACACACCACACAGCAGTTGTATATATTGATGGTGATGGAAGAACATAGCGAATACAAGATCATGAAGTAATGATGATAGTCTTCTCAACACCTGGAACTCTCCACATTCGGCGCTTACAAGTCACACCATTCCACGGAGCAATCAGTCCCAGGCCATTCACACGGACATATATGACTCAACACTTCGTAAGGATCAAAAGTAACCTATAGTAAAGATGTGGTCCTTAGGAAATATTGAGTGGTATACAACAGTCATGACCTTGTAGAAGGCTCTTGAACCATTCATGACAAGAATGGCACCCTTGTTTTCAATCCAATGAGCATATGCTAATTGTTCAATAAATACCCAGATGACAATCAGCTCCTCCATCATACGGACCATAGCTCACTACTGTGTATATACAGGGCTTTAACGGTAACCTACTGCTATGTACATTATGCAGAATGCTTGGAGCTGTATATAAATACATCTCTATGTACACCAGACGCTAGACTCTCAGCTCCTCATTTTATATCCTCCACGTATGTTGATGGGAAGATCCCCACCTCTCCATTCAGCTCGCCCTGCCACCAGCCGTCGGCCAGCTTCTCGTACACCGAGATTATGTCACCTGAAACCAGGAGTACAGAGTAAGTTAGGGGTACCCGTCAGTGATCAAGCTCACCAGCCTAGGCTGACAAACCAAGGGACGTAATTAAACATGTAACAATACTCTGGGGTTGTGAGTGAGTGAGTGAGTTTGGTTTTGTGCTGCTTTTTGCAATATTCCAGTAGTTTCACGGTGGGGGACACCAGAAATGGGCTTAACACATTGTCCCAATGTGAGGAAGCAAACCCGGGTCTTCGGCGTGACCCATGGCTGCCCCACCACACTCTGTGGGGTTGTGATACGATACTTATCTTGATACCATGGATATGATAAGATCTGTAACCCTATACTATGAGTGTCGGGTTGTGATACGACACTTATCTTGATACCATGGATATGATAAGATCTGTAACCCTATACTATGAGTGTCGGGTTGTGATACGACACTTATCTTGATACCATGGATATGATAAGATCTGTAACCCTATACTATGAGTGTCGGGTTGCATTATAAGATATGTATCCCTTATCTTGATACCATGGGCATTATAAGATATGTATCCCTATACTATGAGTGTCGGGTTGTGATACGACACTTATCTTGATACCATGGATATGATAAGATCTGTAACCCTATACTATGAGTGTCGGGTTGTGATACGACACTTATCTTGATACCATGGGCATTATAAGATATGTATCCCTATACTATGAGTGTCGGGTTGTGATACGACACTTATCTTGATACCATGGATATGATAAGATCTGTAACCCTATACTATGAGTGTCGGGTTGTGATACGACACTTATCTTGATACCATGGATATGATAAGATCTGTAACCCTATACTATGAGTGTCGGGTTGTGATACGACACTTATCTTGATACCATGGATATGATAAGATCTGTAACCCTATACTATGAGTGTCGGGTTGTGATACGACACTTATCTTGATACCATGGGCATTATAAGATATGTATCCCTATACTATGAGTGTCGGGTTGTGATACGACACTTATCTTGATACCATGGGCATTATAAGATATGTATCCCTATACTATGAGTGTCGGGTTGTGATACGACACTTATCTTGATACCATGGATATGATAAGATCTGTAACCCTATACTATGAGTGTCGGGTTGTGATACGACACTTATCTTGATACCATGGGCATTATAAGATATGTATCCCTATACTATGAGTGTCGGGTTGTGATAATGACACTTATCTTGTTACCATGGATATGATAAGATCTGTAACCCTATACTATGAGTGTCGGGTTGTGATACGACACTTATCTTGATACCATGGGCATTATAAGATCTGTAACCCTATACTATGAGTGTCGGGTTGTGATACGATACTTATCTCAATACCATGGGCATTATAAGATCTGTAACCCTATACTATGAGTGTCGGGTTGTGATACGATACTTATCTCAATACCATGGGCATTATAAGATCTGTATCCCTATACTATGGGTGTGATATGATAAGTATCCCAATACAGCACATTTACAGTTGATATTCTTTCTTTTGAATCACAACCCTATATCATTTGATCTTAAATTAAAAAAATGAACATGGAATATAATAGTGAGTGAGTGAGTTTAGCTTTATGCCACACTCAGCAATATTCCAGCTATATGGCGGTGGTCTGTAAATAATCAAGTCTGGACCAGACAATCCAGTGATCAACAGCATGAACATTGATCTACATAATTGGGATACGATGACATGTGTTAACCAAGTCAGCGAGCCTGACCACCCGATCCCGTTAGTCGCCTCTGGGTTACTGAAGATCAATTCTAAACCGGACCTTCACAGGTTGGAATATAATAGGGCTAGAGGGCGTTGTAATAGACTCTTGATTTGCATACTGAAAGCTTACAGTCCCCAAACATGGTGTTCATATCAATTCCTTAAAGGTCACATGCAACCAAAAAATCAACATAATTAAAACACAATTATCACTTATTCATGACATATAATATACATTGCTGGTTATGAAAAAACATATAAACAAAATTATAAGCGTACAATCGCAAATCAAAAGTGCAATATTGTGTACTTCGGTTTACTTCCCAAGAAACGAAGCAGCCAGGATACTGAACCCAGTCAGAGCGGGTGGGTGTGCACTCAAGTGTAACTGCTGGTCACGGGTCACGGGTCATTGTGTGTGTATATATAGAGATGTTGGGTTTTGTAAATACATGCTCATTTTTTGTGCATAACATTTTGCAATCAACAGACATCATAACATGTCATGTGTTCAAGTATCACACCTGCCTGTCTGTGTAATTACAAAATGTGACAGAGACCGAACTCGGGCCATAAATCAATGCATTTTGTTTATGGTGTATAGCCTGATTGGTGTTAAGTTCAAATTGCATGTGGTCAGTGATAGCAGCTGTGTATTGAATATTGTCATTAGCAGGCAGGCAGGCAGACACACAGGTGTCAATAAAACAAGACATTGAGTTTAGTCTGTGACAACGACATATCTATATCACAGTTGGAAATTCTGTCAACGCTAAATAATGGCATTGCTTTTAAGTATCGAACTGAGAAAGTGACTCGGTAAGAAGAACGTGTGGTGAAATAGACAAATGAAATTATATAAACAGTTAATTTACTGTCATAACATATAAAAAGCTCGCTTCGTGAGATATCAACAAAACATTAGAAAAATAGCTCACACCAAAGCCTTCACCGAGTATTCACCGGACAACCTCTTCCAAGCTGCGCGAACCTACGTCACTGCGCACGTGCTATAAGCGCAGACCAGCTGTTGAAACCACTTTTCCCCAGAAAAGTCGGGGGAAAATTAGTGAAACATTTGAACTCCGATTTCGCGTGGTTTTTTTCATCGTGTTATTTTTCAACTTTATAAGTTGAATTTGCATTTTTGATGATTTGTTTCGGTAAGTCCATACCGAAAGGTATCAGAATATGCAAAGTTGTGTTTTACGTTGCATGTGACCTTTAACTTTATAAGCATACTCATATAATTCTGGCTCAAATAAGGGAGGCAGTTCTAAACAGGGAATTTTTGTGCCTTAGATGACTGGGCCACCTGTGTGCCTAAGTGAATGACGGTTAAGTAACACCCAACATCCGACCAAGGGACAAAATTCCTGCTAAATTCAAACAGCTGTTAATCAAATCTGAACCAGGCAAACCAGGGTCCCAATCCACAAACGTTCGTAGCATTACGACATTTGTAAGCCTATGCTAAGCTATAGAGTTACATCACGTCAAAACATTACGAACGCTGTGTGCATCGGGACCCTGTCCCTCCATACATGAGCAACAAAGTCATTGACCATCCAATTATCAGCATTCCCTACTAGGGGCCGACTCTACCACCAATACTCGGGGCCTACACACCCCAGACTGCCCACAAGGGTCCTGACACACAACAGGCAAGTGGCTGACATTACTGTTGTCACACAAATGTAGTTAACATCCCAATGTGTCAAAGATGACCTCTCACCTTGTTTGATTGAAATCTCATCTTCATGAACAGCATCGTAATCATACACCGCCTTGCATCTCCCGATCGGCGTGAGAGGAGGGAATTCATCAAAGTCATCAGTTTCTGAAATGAGATGGAGAAAGAGTAAAAACAATGGTAATATTCTTAAAACTAAACAATAGTCAAACGCTAAGAGAATCTGCACCACACTCTGGCACAGCGATGACTTAACATAACATCACTGCCACAGGCTAATTTGCATATCACGTGACCGGACTTTTCTCTTGTTTGTAATCAAACGCGCATATTCATAATAAGAAGAGACTGGACTTACGAAAGCTTTTCGCCGCTCTCTTCATAATGTTTTACATTGTTACATATATATTCTTCCACAACTGCGACAGTAAGGTCTATGACAGTACATATTTAGATATCAAACTGGCTGCATCGTTTGCTCTCCATCAGCTTCGAAGACAGCATGTGGAGCCGTACAACCTATGTAAACAAACGATTGCTATGCAAATCGAAATAGTGTTACATGTTTTAGGATATTTTCTCAGTGAAACTAAACCAGTTTATTAAAAATGTTTAGTTAGATGTGTAGACTCGTCAAAAATAAAAGAGTAAAAGAAATCTGTACATTATATTGAATGGACATTGCAAGATGTGACGAATCGTCACATTTTTCTGGCCTGTGGCAGAGGTACCAAACTTTAAGTCAAAACTACAGTCGGTTTGATGTTTGTAATAACTTGTTCTCCCCCTTTTGATATAAGAGCATTGGTGTGGAAGAAGTGGCCTAGCTAGGTCAGAATCTCCCCCTTTTGATATAAGAACAAGGGTGGGGAAGTAGCCTAGCCAGAATCTCCCCTTTTCATATAAAACAAGGGGTGGGGAAGAAGTAGCAGCCAGAATCTCCCCCCTTTTCATAGAAAACAGAACAAAATATCCTAGCTTAAACAGGGGGGAAACTTTGGCCTAGAGATGGAAACTTTAGCCTATCCCAAACTTTACCCGGGGTAAGAATACCCTAGGATAAAACTTCACCGGGGAAAGTTTGGCCTAGGACAGATTCTCCCCGGGGAAAGTTAAGACCGGGGAAGAAATGGCCTGCTACACCGGGTCTTCAGTGTGACAAGTGAAAGCTTTAACCAATAGGCTACCCCACTGCCCCTGGAAGGTTTCATTCATGGAACCCAAGTCCTTTCACATTTTCAGACATTTCTAATAAACTAAATGCTGCAGTTAGGCACTTGCCTGATATGCATAGAAAGTTTGACAAAGAGATGATAAAGTGTTTATGAATTATGCTCCGGAAACCTTCCCCAGCCTTATCTCAACTTATTGCCATTGAAAAGACAAACTTTGGGGGATTTTTGAGGCTGGTAGTTGACAGAAACCTCAAATACTTAAGTGTAATGAGATGGAAAGTGGGTATTGACAACAAGGTGAGTGAGTGAGTGTAGTTTTACGCCGCACTCAGCAATATTCCAGCTATATGGTAGCGGTCTGTAAATAATCAAGTCTGGACCAGACAATCCAGTGCTCAACAGCATGAGCATCGATCTGCGCAATTGGGGACAAGCTAATTAATGGGACATGCATTCTCAATACTACACTTTACTTTTTAGATAATTCATTCTGATACAAGATAGGATATGAAGGTAGTTCTTGTCAATGTAATTGAAACACAACCAAAACAAATGTCACCAAAATTGTCAGTGCAATTAACATGAAAAAAATAATAGTATCAGTTAGAAGACCACTACAAACATTTCTTGAGTCTAGTCAAACCCAAACAGTGTATTGATACACTACCAAACTAAAGCAGGTATGCTGTTGCTGTTTAGATAATGAGTATCAACTCACCAAACTCATCATCGTCGTAGGTTGGTTCAACGGTGGAGTAGTGGTCCCCGACTGTGGATAGCGACGTGACGGAGCCAGCTGAGTAGGTATAGTCTGAGTTGCCGTCCAGCGCCAGGTTCATCGGCAGCTTCAACAAACTCACCATGTGACCCTGGACAAAACAGGAACAAAACAGAGGTCACTTATGATGCGAGGTGGACCAATTTTTATTTTTTTGACAGACATTCAAGCTCTTTATGAGGTGAGGTGAAATTGTGTTTAACGCCGAGCTATAGAATATTTCGCTCATATGATGACGTGCATGTGTGTGTATGTGTATGTGCGGCTGCTTGTACTAGCCCAGACTGAAGCTGGTTTTATAGTGCTAGCTCACTGACATACCATGCCGCAGTACATGAATACCCCACTCAGACACATTATACTGACTCCGAGACAACCAGCCCTTGTTGTACCCATTAATGCCGAGCCCCAGGCAGGGACCAACAAGTACCATATTTAACGTCTTTAGATATGATGCGGTCGGGGATCGAACCCGCGACCTTCCGCTCTCCGGGCGGACGCTCTAACCACTACACCACGGAGGCGGTCCAGCTCTTTATGAAGTTCAGTTAATTAGATAACAAAGTTTGTTTTCTTGAGATTCTAGAGAACAGAATACAGATGAGACCTCATACCTGTTTTTCCCTGGTGGTCTCAATGTACTGAGAGAACTTATGGACTGGCGGGTCTCTCTTGTCCACCTTGGCCAGTGACTTGGCGATCTTGTAGTGACTAGCTTCCAGAAAGTTGAGAGTAAAGGTTGTCTGCAATGTCAGGCACAACGAATAAGTCCAGGGACCACAATAGATCAAGGGCCCATTCTACTAAGCTATCTTAGTGCTCCAAATATTGTAAGGATATGTGAAAGTATGGGAGTTAATCATCTTGGAGTGGGTGAGTTTAGTTTTACATCGCTTTCAGCAATATCAGCAATATTACACATCAGGCAGAGAGAACACCAGAAATGGGTGTCACACATTGTACTCATGTGGGGAATCGAACCCAGGTCTTCGGCATGAGGAGCGAATGCTTTACCCACTAGGCTACCCCTAATAATCTTAGAAAACAGCAGTGATGACAACAACGTACCTGTTCTAATCTCTGTTTTACATCCTCCTGTGCATCAGCATCAGCGAAATTAGGCTTGGATTTGTATACATCTACTAGCTTCTGTACACCTGAAAACAACAAGATCATCTACTGAAACCTAACCCCCAAAACATGCTCAAAACACAACCTTAACATCCAAGTTAAAGCATCTGTGTGCACTAGATTTCCATGCAAGGCTCCTTGGGGTATATACCACTGAAGCTACTCGAGGTGCTTGCAGGTTAACGGTCATATTACCATTGTATCCTATCAGGTACCCTTTCACTGTTGGGTGAACAGAGCCTATGTGCATATGATATGTGTGTCTGTCGGTTTATGTGTCTCAGTGTGTTTATGTGTGTCTGTCTTTGTATTTCTGTGTGTGTCTGTCTTTCTGTGTGTGTCTGTTTGTGTGTCACTCTTTCTGTGTCTGCTTGTGTGACTGCCTTTCTGTGTCTGTTAGTGTGTCTGTCTGTCTGCCTTTCTGTGTCTGTGTGTTTGTCTGTCTTTCTGTGTCAGTCTGTTAGTGTGTTGTCTGTCTGCCTTTCTGTGTCTGTCTGTTAGTGTCTCTGTTTGTCAGTCTGTTAGTGTGTTGTCTGTGTCTGTGTGTCTTTCTGTGTCTGTCTGTTAGTGTCTCTGTTTGTCAGTCTGTGTTTGTATGTGTCTGTCTGTCTTTCTGTGTGTCTGTGTCTGCCTTTCTGTGTCTGTCTGTCCTGTTAGTGTCTCTGTTTGTCTGTCTGTGTTTGTATGTGTCTGTCTCTTCTTTCTGTGTCTGTGTGTCTTTCTGTGTCTGTGTGTGTGTCTGTCTTTCTGTTCTGTGTCTGTGTCTGTCTTCTGTGTCTGTGTCTGTCTGTCTGTCTGTGTCTGTATTTCTGTGTCTGTGTGTGTCTTTCTGTGTCTGTCTGTCTGTCCTGTGTCTGTGTCTGTATTTCTGTGTCTGTCTGTGTCTCTTTCTGTCTATGTGTCTTTCTGTGTGTGTGTGTGTGTGTCTGTGTGTGTGTGTGTCTGTCTGTATTTCTTGTGTGTGTGTGTGTGTGTGTGTGTGTCTGTCTGTGTGTGTGTCTGTGTGTACAGGTCACACACCCTGCTGTGGAATCCTCAGAATACAGACAGCTGTCGTGTACTTCCATGGACACTGCCACCTACCCTCCTTGCCCTTGCGGTCCCTCTCCAGCATCTGCTGTATGTAGAGCAGGTAGTTCTGTAGAGCATTCCGCAGCCGCACAGGGTTCATGTTGAACTGACCATCTTCAGCCTGGACAACAACAACACCTTGATTACCATCGATAACATTTGCTTCACAGCTTTACATGGAACACGTAATGGTAGGTTAGCAAATAGAACTCCAGGTGTAAAACGATAGTGTCTATATACTACAATACCTGACAGTTTGTACAGCATGGTTTATAACATACATTGAGTACATTTACATCACAGTCTAAATGTACACTCAAAATACTAGCTCAGTATAAATAAATAAATAAACACCCTTGATACAAAGAGGCCTCAGTAATATTTCACAGGTACATATGTACTTATTCATTACACAACACAAGATGCAGTAGTCCTTATACTCAGTTACATATACATTGGTTGATATACACAGGTTCATATACCCTGGTTCACATATACTGTGGTGTTAAACAAACAAACAAACAAACAAAAGAACACAGGTTCACTTACACAATGGTTTACATACACTGGAACAAATACACAGGTACCAGTATAAACACCCCATTTCACCTCACCTCACCTCGCCTCATCTCATTTCACACCATCTCCCCCTCATCTCATGTGAAGATGCAAGGAACTTACATAGCAGTCCATCAAGACTTGTTCCGGCATCCGGGCACCCTTCACGCCTTTCTCACGCACAACAATCTGAAGGTCATTCTGAAGGTCAACTGCCATCACAGTTTCATTGAGGTGGTCTAATATCTGAAGACAACAGAAGAAATTGGTCAATACAGGGTTTTTCATAGCTCTTCGAAACTAGGAGTCCTGGGGACTCAGGGTATATTTTTTTGAGAGTGCATTTCCAAAATTGGGGGTGCATCAATTTGCATTAAATCAGTGATACTGAATGCTTCCCATTTGATAATGATTATGTTAAGATATGTGTTACTTTCAATGTCATTAGAATAATGATTGTAAATAAAATGTTAATACTTTAATATGGGATATCATTACAAACTCATAAAGTTCTTTCCCAGAAAAAAATTATATTGCGTCCACAAGGACGGACAGGATTTTAGTTTGGGGGTACTTCACCAAATTTCTGCGTCCAATACGCAGGAATCTTGCGTCCCATAAAACCCTGTCAATATGCACATGCGAACACGATAAATTATTTTCCTTAGAAGCATAAATGATGTCAGATACATATTGTAGCTGAACTTGAGTCAATTAAGTCTCATCACTGCATAAGAAATACTTTAAAAAGATGGCTTCACCTGCATTTAAGTAATAGTTTGAATGTATCTGCTGCATGCACTTACTCGTGTTAGTTTGGGAGGCAGCACCGATATGTGGCTGTTGTACTTGTTGAGATATTCCTGCATCGTCTTCACTCGGTCTTCTTCCAAATGTTGCATCTGGGTACTGCCCTGAAGGAACCAACAGACAGCATCAGTAAAAACACATAATTGTCAATGTTATCTAAATACACAAAGCTCATGTATCGTATACATACATGAGGAATAAGTCACGTATTTGCAACACTTGCAATTTGAGCAGCATTGGTGTGAGTCTCCTTGTCCCACTTGTCCTGCTTACAGCTCCCATGGCTATGCAGGAACCCATTCAATGGGCAAATAGCATGAGGACAACACCAAATGAATCTTACTTTAACTGTTTAATGAGTAGGCTTCGGTTATAATTTAAACAAGCATTGTCACTAAGGTGACATAATCCCCAGCCGCAAATTATCAAATCAAACTTATAAAGTAATGAAAGTTTAAGTTAAATGTCAACAAAAACATGACCAGCCAACCTCTCTCGATATCTTGCTCTTTAGGTGTTCAAACACACACATATTTTCAAGACTGACTTTGACCTTGACATGAATGTCATAGTGTATGAAATATGCAAAAATAGTACTAAAGAAATTGCTCATTGAAAACATTCAAGGGAAGTCTTGAAAGTCTATGAAGAAAATCCAGTAAACCGTTCTTGAAATATCTTGCTGACAATTCAGGTTAATATGCTGAAATCTTCAAAGTGTCGCCATGACCTTGACAATTAAGTGGAGGTCACCAAATCTGGGCCCTGCACCTTTCCTAGATAAAGCTTGGTATCAAATATGAAGGAAATCCAGTGAACGGTTCTTGAGATAGCTTAACATGCAGGTAAAATGTTAAAGTCCCCTTGTGACCTTGAAATGAAGGTCAAGGTCACCAAACCTGACTTGGGCCTTTCTTATACTGTGATGAACCTAGGTACCAAATATGAAAAGAATCTTGAGAACAGTTCTTAGGATATTCCAATTCGTACATATGGACGGACGGACGGACGGACGGAGCCTAATACTATATCCCCTGCTTCGCGCTAAACGCCGAGGGGGATAATTACATATGATATACATAAATGCTCAGGGTGCTAAATATAAAAACTTTTAGTAAGTCATTTCCCTCCTCCTCCGCATCATCATCATCATCATCATCATCATCATCATCATCGACGTCGTCATGAAGACCACCACCACCATTATCAACATTGCAACTGCTTTCTACACTGAAAACAGATGTCATCTACATATTAGAGATGCTGTTACCTTGGAAACGGTGAACTCCCAGTCCTGCCTTGAAGTCTCCCCCTTGTAGCAGGACTCGGCGTAGTCCTTGTCTGCCTTTCGCACCGCTGCCAGGGAGTTCTTACTCTTCTTCTCCATCTGGAACCAGACATACTGTCATCTCGCAGGGTGTTAACACATGATGGTTCATACAGCACAGTTTCGACACTTCAGGACTTTCCACAGCAAGGATACCATTAACAGGCTAACCAGTTTTTTCTTTCTAACAGTTTTATTGGGACATACTTCATTGTCAGAATGGGTATACTTGTACGTAACAGTACAAACATGGCTGCAATAATTGTATGTCTGGGCTGCTCCATATGAATGGTTCTGATACAGTGTGAGTGAGTGAGTGAGCGAGTGAGCGAGTGAACGAGCTAGCGTTTTACGCCGCACTCGGCAATATTCAAGCTATATTGCGGCGGTCTTTAAATAATCAGATGCTATAAGCTCCACAGTACGGTACACATGAATGTAGCCATGCCTTTTGTCCTTTCAAATGCAAGTATCCAAACAGAATTTCCAGAAGATCTGAATTTGATATTGCTACTTTATTTCGATTCATGCCACTATATTTTGATTCATGCTGTAATAGCTCACTGCAGGACAGGAGTTTGGGTCTGGTATGTGACTCACCTTTGCTATGTCTTTTGACTTCCCTGATTTGACTTCTGAATCCTCCACCTTCTCATATTCTTTAGCACATGACACAGCGTTCTTCTTGGCCTGGGTAGTAGAGACAAGGATTGTCATGGTAACCAAGTGAGTGAATGTTGTTTTACACCATGTCAGGGATTGACATACGAGCCACAATAGTGAGTGAGTTGGGTTTACTGCTAACAGTATATCAGCCTCATCAATGTGGGTCAGTGAGTGAGTGAGTGAGTGAGTTTAGTTTTAAGCAGCCCTCAGCAATGTTCCAGCTATATGCGGCGGTCTGTAAACAGTCTGGACCATCAATGTGGGTCAGTGAGTGAGTTTAGTTTTACGCCACCCTCAGCAATGTTCCAGCTATATGCGGCGGTCTGTAAACAGTCTGGACCACTAATGTGGGTCTGTGAGTGAGTGAGTTTAGTTTTACGCCACCCTCAGCAATGTTCCAGCTATATGCGGCGGTCTGTAAACAGTCTGGACCATCAATGTGGGTCTGTGAGTGAGTGAGTTTAGTTTTACGCCACCCTCAGCAATGTTCCAGCTATATGGCGGCGGTCTGTAAACAGTCTGGACCATCAATGTGGGTCAGTGAGTGAGTGAGTTTAGTTTTACGCCACCCTCAGCAATGTTCCAGCTATATGCGGTGGTCTGTAAACAGTCTGGACCATCAATGTGGGTCTGTGAGTGAGTTTAGTTTTACGCCACCCTCAGCAATGTTCCAGCTATATGGCGGCGGTCTGTAAACAGTCTGGACCATCAATGTGGGTCTGTGAGTTAGTGAGTTAAGTTTTACGCCACCCTCAGCAATGTTCCAGCTATATGTGGTGGTCTGTAAACAGCCTTGACCTTCAATGTGGGTCTGTGAGTGAGTGAGTTTAGTTTTACGCCACCCTCAGCAATGTTCCAGCTATATGGCGGCGGTCTGTAAACAGTCTGGACCATCAATGTGGGTCAGTGAGTGAGTGAGTTTAGTTTTACGCCGCCCTGAGCAATGTTCCAGCTATATGGCGGCGGTCTGTAAACAGTCTGGACCATCAATGTGGGTCAGTGAGTTAGTGAGTTAAGTTTTACGCCACCCTGAGCAATGTTCCAGCTATATGTGGTGGTCTGTAAACAGCCTTGACCTTCAATGTGGGTCTGTGAGTGAGTGAGTTTAGTTTTACGCCACCCTCAGCAATGTTCCAGCTATATGGCGGCCGTCTGTAAACAGTCTGGACCATCAATGTGGGTCTGTGAGTTAGTGAGTTTAGCTTTACGCCGCCCTCAGCAATGTTCCAGCTATATGGCGGCGTTCTGTAAACAGTCTGGACCATCAATGTGGGTCTGTGAGTTAGTGAGTTTAGTTTTACGCCACCCTCAGCAATGTTCCAGCTATATGGCGGTCTGTAAACAGTCTGGACCATCAATGTGGGTCAGTGAGTGAGTGAGTTTAGTTTTCACGCCACCCTCAGCAATGTTCAGCTATATCGCGGTGGTCTGTAAACAGTCTGGACCATCAATGTGGGTCTGTGAGTGAGTTTAGTTTTACGCCACCCTGAGCAATGTTCCAGCTATATGGCGTGGTCTGTAAACAGTCTGGACCATCAATGTGGGTCAGTGAGTTAGTGAGTTAAGTTTTCACGCCACCCTGAGCAATGTTCAGCTATATGTGGTGGTCTGTAAACAGCCTTGACCTTCAATGTGGGTCTGTGAGTGAGTGAGTTTAGTTTCGCCACCCTCAGCAATGTTCCAGCTATATGGCGTCTGTAAACAGTCTGGACCATCAATGTGGGTTAGTGAGTTAGTGAGTTTAGTTTTCATAGCCCTCAGCAATGTTCCAGCTATATGGCGGCGGCTCTGTAAACAGTCTGGACCATCAATGTGAGTCAGTGAGTGAGTGAGTTTAGTTTTACGCCACCCCTCAGCAATGTTCCAGCTATATCACGGTGGTCTGTAAACAGTCTGGACCATCAATGTGGGTCTGTGAGTGAGTTTAGTTTCACGCCACCCTGAGCAATGTTCCAGCTATATGGCGGTCTGTAAACAGTCTGGACCATCAATGTGGGTCAGTGAGTTAGTGAGTTAAGTTTTACGCCACCCTCAGCAATGTTCCAGCTATATGTGGTGGTCTGTAAACAGCCTTGACCTTCAATGTGGGTCTGTGAGTGAGTGAGTTTAGTTTCACGCACACCCTCAGCAATGTTCCAGCTATATGGCGGTCTGTAAACAGTCTGGACCATAAATGTGGGTCAGTGAGTTAGTGAGTTTAGTTTTAAGCCGCCCTGAGCAATGTTCCAGCTATATGGCGGCGGTCTGTAAACAGTCTGGACCATCAATGTGGGTCAGTGAGTTAGTGAGTTAAGTTTTACGCCACCCTCAGCAATGTTCCAGCTATATGTGGTGGTCTGTAAACAGCCTTGACCTTCAATGTGGGTCTGTGAGTGAGTGAGTTTAGTTTTACGCCACCCTCAGCAATGTTCCAGCTATATGGCAGCGGTCTGTAAACAGTCTGGACCATCAATGTGGGTCTGTGAGTTAGTGAGTTTAGCTTTACGCCGCCCTCAGCAATGTTCCAGCTATATGGCGGCGGTCTGTAAACAGTCTGGACCATCAATGTGAGTCAGTGAGTGAGTGAGTTTAGTTTTACGCCACCCTCAGCAATGTTCCAGCTATATCGCGGTGGTCTGTAAACAGTCTGGACCATCAATGTGGGTCTGTGAGTGAGTTTAGTTTTAATACCACCCTCAGCAATGTTCCAGCTATATGGCGGTGGTCTGTAAACAGTCTGGACCATCATTGTGGGTCAGTGAGTTAGTGAGTTAAGTTTTACGCCACCCTCAGCAATGTTCCAGCTATATGTGGTGGTCTGTAAACAGCCTTGACCTTCAATGTGGGTCTGTGAGTGAGTGAGTTTAGTTTTACGCCACCCTCAGCAATGTTCCAGCTATATGGCGGCGGTCTGTAAACAGTCTGGACCATCAATGTGAGTCAGTGAGTGAGTGAGTTTAGTTTTACGCCACCCTCAGCAATGTTCCAGCTATATGGCGGCGGTCTGTAAACAATTGAGTCTGGACCATCAATGTGGGTCAGTGTGTGTTGGTGTGGCTGCTTATACTAGGCTAGACTAATGCTGATTATAGCACTAGCTCACTGAGACACAGAGCCACAAGTTACGATGGATACCACTCCAGGATACAGTGTACTGACTGAACAAACCAGTCTTTGTTCCATCCCATCAACTGTGAGTTCCAGGCAGAGCAACAACAAGTACCACCTTCTAATTGACAGTATGATGAGGTCTGGCTGAAACTTTGACCTGCAGCTCTTTCAGCAGAATGACAAGGGAGGTGTTCTCATACCACCCCAGAAACCCTACATCATCTTACAATCTCCCATACCTTATACTCTTCTGCTCGTCTGTCTGTGAGATTCCTGAATGCTTTATCTACCATGGCCTCGATCTGAAACAGGGACCAGTCATTGTATACACTGTCATCAGTATGTTGACTGATGTAGCAACAGCTGTGTAATGACTGAAGACATGCAGTAAGCTTACACCCAGTCTATCCAGTCTTGTCTGACACAATCAATTTATGGCTTCTGATATAATGCTGTTGTTTTTAAACCCTGAATTTCATGTGGAATACAGTTAGACTTGCTTATGTAAATTATCTACACACTGGTCATTGTAAAAAAACAAAAGCACAGGCATTACACAGTAAATATGACATTGCTCTAAATAATCAAGTCTAGACAAAGCAATCCAGTGATTGACATCATGAGCATCAATCATGTATCATAGAGATATGATGACATGAACCCAGTCAGCGAGACTGATCACCTGTTCGTCACCTTTTATGACAAGCATGGGTCGGGAAGACCAGCTCAAACTTTATGAGTGAGTGAGTTTAGTCTTACGCTGCCCTCAGCAATATTCCAGCCATATGGCGGCGGTGTGTAAATAATCTAATCTGGACCATACAATCCAGTGATCAACATCATGAGCATCAATCTACACCATTGGGATACGATGACATGTGTCAACCAAGTCAGCAAATCAAACTTAATGGGGTAGTGCAATACTAAAGTCCCTTTAAATAATTTCCCTTACAATGAGGAAAGGTATCTCCAATCTTACCGGCTTCCTTGCTTTGTTTTGTGTTTCCACAACAGACTTCAGAGGTTTGCTAATTTCTTCCAGCAATCCAGAAGCTAAATTTCTGCAAAGGAAATGATTGTTTGTTTGAAACAGTTACTAACCTCTAGCTGCACAGGCTATAATGCAGGTAATTGCTCATTATCAGTATTATGTTTGTGATCATACTGAACTAAAGACATAGTTTTATATTTAATAGATTCAGAATGAGTGAGTGAGTATGGTTTTACTCCGCTTTTAGCAATATTCCAGCAACATCACGCGGGGGACACCAGAAATGGGCTTCACACATTGTGCCCATGTGGGGACTCGAACCCAGGTCTTCAGCGTGACGAGCGAACGCTTTAACCACTGGGCTACCCCACTGCCCCAATAGATTCAGAAGAGAGATTACAGGCTACATGCTATCTCAAATCACATGAGTGACTGAGTTCAGTTTTCCACCGCTTTTAGCAATATTCCAGCAATATCACGGCAGGGGACACCAGAAATGGGCTTCACACATTGTACCCATGTGGGGAATCAAACCCGGGCCTTTGGCGTGATGAGCGAACACTTTAAGCACCAGGCTACCTCACTGCCCCCTCAAATCACATGACAGCACTACGCTTAGAGATAGAATTGTAGCATGATTAAAATCAAAGACTTTAGATAAAAACTAGACTTACTGAAGTGTGCCATTAAAAGTTAATGAGACACTACTAAAAAACTGTCACATACTTCCTTCTTATACATGAATCAGTAATGGTGATACAACCCTCTAACAGTGAGTGAGAGAGGTAGTTCTTAACCCCACTTTGAACAGTATTCCCGTCATATCAGGGCATGTCAGCCCACTGTGGGAAGAAAACCCCAAATGATTCATTTCTCAGACATCTAACACTTTGGTGAAACCCACAGGCATGGGTACAGTACTGACACACCATAAAACACAGTGAGGGCTAACTGGGATTCGAACCCATGCCTTTGTCTGGGCCACTTGTACTCTCTCAAACAGTGAGTGAGTTTTGGTTTTATGCTGCTTTTAGCAATATTCCAGCAATAACATGGCAGGGGATACCAGAAATTGGTTTCATGCATTGTACCAATGTGGGGAATCAAACCAGGTTCTTTGGCATGACAGGCAAACGCTTTAACCACCAGGCTACTCCACCTCCTTCCCCCATTCCACTTAAACAGACAGAGACTCAGGGAGTATAGTATCAAGGGAAATCTGCAGTTTGGAAGCCACATACTTATGTAGCTCTGATTCCTGCTCCATGGCCAATGCAGCCGACTTCCATCCATCAGATAAACTCCTGAAACAAAATGTTGATATCAGATGATGGAGACACCCACTGTAGGTTCAACACGAGTCACTGACACTGATGGAAGTGCTCATAAAATCTCTAACATCAGTGTTGGTGCACTCACAAGCTAGTCGTATTGTTTTCAAACTCATATACTTTACTTACATGACCTTCATAAAAACACTGTCAACTTCCAATTTTGTATTGTTTAAAATTTCTTTCAAATCATGCATAATTAACCTACAACACCTGTCTAATGATTCTTCCCAAATTTCACATTAAATTCTTCACGGGTAAATAAAAAAGAAGGATCCATTACAGACATCACATATTCTAAGGAGCAGTTATTGACAAAATAGGCGAGACAGAGCATAAAGAATCAAAGGCTCTTTGTGACTTAAGCACACTAGTTCAAAGCCACAGTCAAACCTATTTGGTGCAGCGATCATACTTTTTATAAAATAATAAAAAATAAAGTATTGTAATAATATAGCACTTTAAATAGTGTGATGGATACGCCTAGTTTTGAGATTATTGTTCATAGCAAATATTTCCTTCATGGTCAGGTTTTATAATAATCTGTTTTGACTTTTCCTTGTTTAACCACAGGACATGAGCATAATTAACCTGACTTTGTCTCTGTCATTATGTTTGTTAGATAATGTTTTTGTTTGAAAACTCAAATAAATCAGGGATTTTTTACATGAGCAAGTAACAGATCACATGAGGTATTAGAATAGACGTCTCCTCATTAAGTATATCCACAATTCTTCCTACATTTGTGAACTTACAATGATGAGGACAGTGTGGAAACTGATCATGAAACACTGCGTAATGTATTACTCCACGTTAGTCTATGGAACTTTGTGCTACACAATATTTGTTACATGTATTTATGCCCATGAACAATCGAGAGGGCAACAGACAATGTATACTGGCAGCAATGATCAATGCCATACAACGACAAACCATCAACATGGTCACCCAGTCTGACCACCCCATCTATGAACTAGTGGCTTAAAACCAGCATAGATGGCTGGGGACCAATTCAAACCTGGAACCCCTGCAGGGTCCGTAGTCACCTCCTACAACATTTTGGTTTGGTGTGTTGTTCTACGCCACATTCAGCAAAATTCAGACTGTTAACATCTTACAGACTAATGTTGATATACTGTAATCGTAGTTGTTTTCGCGTGGGATTAATTTTTGCGCTTTTAGCGGAAAAAGATTGTGTGTCAATAATCATACCAAGCGAAATATTCATGGTCAAGTCATGACAAAGTTCAGACAAATACTCAAGTAGGAACAACATGCATTTGTTTAATGCAGCCAATCAGTGATTTGACCATGTGAATAAAACAACAAACACTACTTTATGATTTCTATGTTTAATTATTGTAAGTACTGGTATACACTCTTCCTTAATTGCTGTCAGTTAATCTCGCATATGGGACAGGTGTTGTCATGTTGACACAAGTATAATCCCACCTCTCTCTCTGATTGTTTTAGTAAACACGATTCAATTATGGCGGCTAGCTTTGATCATTGCATTTCTATTGGTTGTGAATACTCAGGTGTTTGAAATGCGCGAAAAAACAACTGCGCTAACAGGTCTTTGGTGAACTTTCCGCGAAAATTGCACCCCGTGAAAATATATACGATTACAGTACTAGAGACATAAACCACTCATTTCCACAAATAGTTATGGTGATACATATACTCTTCAAAACTGATGTGCTTCTGAGGAACAACTGTACATGCTTGGATGTCAGGATTAAGGTTTGCTGTGCTTTGTTGTTTAACGCAGCACTCAGCAATATTCTAGCTATATGGTCTGTAAATAATCAAGTCTGGACCAGACAATCCAGTGATCAACAGCATGAGCATCAATCAACGTAATTGTGAAACCATGACATGTGTCCACCAAGTCAGCGAGTCTGGCCACCTGAACCCGGCAAGCATGGGCTACTGAAGACCAATTCTAACCCGGATCTTCACGGGTAACCTCTTACAACTACCTATAGGGTGCACGTGCTGGTGACACATCCTACCACACCTTCACGAGCCTAAGACTACTAGTGAGTGAGTCAGTGAGTTTAGTTTTACGCCGCACTCAGCAATATTCTAGCTATATGGCAGCGGTCTGTAAATAATCGAGTCTGGACCAGACAAACCAGTGATCAACAGCATGAGCATCGATCTGGGCAATTGGGAACCGATGACATGCATCAAACAAGTCAGCGAGCCTGACCACCCGATCCCGTTAGTCGCCTTTTACGACAAGAATGGGTTGCTGAAGACCTTTTCTACCCCTGATCTTCACGGGTCTCTAAGACTACTAACTGAGGACACAGACATATCCAATGATGGTAGTCCTGGAGACTAGTAACACCTGAGATGTAGAACACAAGTTAATTAGTTCTCAATACTTCCATTTTGCTACAAAATGAAACTGAATTATAAAGAAATGTAACAGATGTCATGTTAACAAAAACAACTGCCCACAGCCTACAACAATACAGCCAATAAATTCATTGTGCATACTTTCTTCTGTGCACGTATCATTGATATACAGCTTGTTATAACAGTTCAAGTATAACAGACTTACCCCAACCCTGTGCCAGCAGCTTTAGCTAGCTTACTGCCAATTCTTGCCAACCCTTTGGCATATGTGCTTTCAATATCCGCCCTGAAATGACAATCAGAAAGAGAATGAACCAACATAGTATTGTTATGAAGACAATGTGAATCCAGTTTTAGCAGACAAAAGTTTGGAGTGATCATGGTCATACTGGAGTGTCTTATCATAGTCAATGGACACCACAGATTAACAAAGGTTTGGGAACAGAATTCAGCTTTGCATTATGACAAGCCACCACTTCACTCCCTAACGTACCCACTCCCATGGTCAAATATATCAGTATTGGACTGGGAGTGAGCTAAAACTTAATGTGGCATCAGCTTTCTTTCAGCCATATAGCGACTACTGGTATTAGAACATGCCATACTCTTGAAGAATAGATAAGAAAAGGATATTGCAGAATTGAAATTGGATCAAATGTTTCGTAGACCATTGTGACATCATCAGTTTCAATGACATCACAACCAAATGACATCACTCATCCCTCTTATCCTGACGCTGGTTAGCTGTACTTTGTAAACTCAAGATTATTACTGTTTACAGAAACGTTTGGGATGAGAACTAGAATCTCACCAAGTGTCTTGTAAAATCAAATATACCAACACACATTATAATATACATCACCAAACCTCAGAGATTTAAACGTTTATTGACTTGTTTGACATATTCAGTAGCAAACAATGACTGAGTGAGATTCTGTATATATTGAACCTATCATCCAAACGACAAACGGACATGTCACATATTAACACAAAATGCAAACAATATGTACCATGATTCAATCTACTTCTATTCTGATAACTAAAAGTTCTGATTGTTGATTTCCTAGTTTCTAGTACCATAAAGTTTCAGATAATCATACAACCATATTTAGAATATACGGGATATACTGCTTCAAAAATGAACATTGTTATGACACAGGGGTGGAAATAACCCATTACCCGACGTCCGAGTCTAGTGTTTTTTTCCTGTTGGTCAAGCAAATTTGTATACAGTGAGACCTCGGATATCCGGACACATTCGTTTTTACGTAAATCGTCCGGATAATTGAATATCCGGATATCTGGATTTTTGGTTTTCATACACCTCAAGGAAAATCCAAAATATTTATGATCATCAAGCGTTTATTATACATGTATAGACATTCAAAAACAGCATCACAACATAACTGGCTTGAATATCGACACTCTGCACTTTTATTGCTTTGACTGAATAAACAACATCGTATCACTTCGCGTGAACAAACAACAGAAGACGACTTTGTCAGTAGAGACGTCAAATTTACTATTAAACATCACTAGACAAGATTATTTACTTTAAGTTATAAGTTGTTTTTGCTGGGCATTGTATTATTTGCAGGGATTAAGATTACCGTATGATATTTGTCTCGCATTACACAAAGCCGAAATAGCAATCAGCTGTGCACATCGCTACCCGCTTAACAAGTTCAAACGTGCACAATAATATAACGGGATGAATTCTGACGCAGTCGTCAGTAAAATATAATACAGAATACTATTATTTAACCCAAAGAATTTTATTTACAATTTTTATGTAAAATATATATAATCAACACTAAGGTTATACGGACCCTCATGAACGGTACGCACATGGAATGGGGTAAAATACGGAAGCCATTTAAATTCACACATTTTACCGATGTTACTGTAAACTAGCAGTCAATGGAAAACGAGGCGTAATCAGTTCGTGATTGTTGAATGGGGTAAAATAAGCAAGCCAGTTTGTTGCTACAATAAATATGATATTTAGAGAAGCTATATTATGCATTTTCTGTCAACTACACTTCGCTTCGATCCGTGAGTAGACACAATAATATATATGACACCACGTCTGGTGTCAAAACACGTGGGACTCTCGCACTTCCCTTCACACGGTTAGCGGTAGATCAAAGCTTCGTGCGGATAGGTGAGTCAATTTTGTGTTGATTTAGCCAGTTTGTTTGTAAAATGTACCGCCCGGAAACGGAAACCGAATATCCGTTATAGACAGTCACTTTTATAACGTAAGAGAATGTTTTTTTCTAAAAATTGACCGGAAGGCGAGGTTTCCAGATATCTGGGGTCCGGGTATCCGAGGTCTCACTGTATCACACTGTACTGGTGTCCAGTTGACTTTCCAATGTTAATTATGTTGTTTATGTAAAAAATCAACAAGAAAAGGTCCGGTATAGTGGAAAAATGACCAGGGCAAGTGATTTTACATGTGCCACTGTTCCGGAGTACACTAGCAATTTTAAAGTTATTTCCACCCCTATGACACTATCTAAGTTTTGGGATGCCATGTGAGCCAACCTGCAGTCATCAAGTAACCGTGTTCAACCTGGGTTTCCCTTTGTTCTACCTGCCTGGTACCCCCCAGAACTGTGTCCCCAATCCCTGGGGAATTTGTATATTTACACAAACAGACTGTCTAAATATCCCACTTAAAACAGGGTGTGGTTAGCTTCCATAGAATCACAAGTGACATAATAGCCTGGCTGATTAACTGCTTACTTAAGTATTTAATCATCCTTACAATATTGTCACCAATCAAAATTACCACTCTACAAAGAGTACACACTGCTAGATATGTATGTGCAATGATTAATTCTTATGTAATTACATGCCTTGACGATAACCTCCATTGTGTCATATACTCTAATGTAATTACACTGCTCTTTCTTCACATTCCTTGATAAATAATGGAGAGGATTGGTTGTGGTGTGATACAAAAGAGTCGGGATCTATTGCTCATACTTAAGTTGTGTTCTCATGATCAGGAACTGACTGATTTAAAACTGAGGAAATTGTCCTGCATCACTTGGGGAGCGGAGGTTGGAGTGTTTGTTAACATGAGGGGAGGTAACTCTTCCGGTAATAATGACTTGCAGCTACTTCAACACCAAATCAGAATCTGTTGTTCAAACAGCAAATTTCATACAAAGAATAGAGCATGCCATGAGAAGCCTCACTGATGTGATTGGATGATATTGTGTAAAATTGATAGGATTTAAAAATGTCATCTAACAAGTAATTAATACTGATTATGTTTTCCAATACTTTGAGTTTTCTTGTCTACCATGATGAATTATGCTAAACGTGACCACAGACATTTGTAATTTTAGTCCAGATTTAGGGCCAGGCTGTCATAACTTGTAGTACAAAGTCATCGTATCCCAGATGCATAGATCAATGCTAATTATGTCAATCATATCTGGTGAAGACTTGTAACATAGTTGGAATATTGCTGGAGTCCAGTGTTAAACAACCAATAAAGAAACACAGATGTCACGTCATGTAGTCTGTGGTATTAGACTTCATGTCCCTCTCCCAAGCATTATTTCACCTGCCATACACAACTGGGCTACCCATGCTCTTGTAACAGTCTCTCTCTGTACAGCTAGTTCAAAAGCAAGACTGACAAGGTAATTTCCAAGTAATTGCATCAATTTACCACATCATTAACTGTCAACTGACTTTACTGACAGTACTATGGATTGAGCTAGTGTTGAGCTTGTGGGCGGCTTACATCATCTACATACTTCAGACGCTGAGAGGGTGGAGGAGGTAGAGAGAGAGAGATAGGGAAGAGTAAGTAGTGACGCTGGAGAGGGGAGAAGAGTAAGTGGTGGAGGTAGAGAGAGATAGGGAAGAGTAAGTAGTGACGCTGAGAGGGTGGTGGAGGGGAAGAGGTAGAGAGAGAGGTCGGTCGGGAAGAGAAAGTAGTGCAGGTTTCATGTATCTCCTCTGGCTGTACAGCTTTGCCTGGACAGTACGTCATTGTCTAGACTACATGGACGCTTGTTACCAGATGGGAAGTATTACCACTTGTTTAAGATCCTATATGCTGTATCAAACTCTACCTATACCAAGGGTATATCCCCAAGTACCTATAGTGAGTGAGTGAGTGAGTTAAGATTTAAAGTCACATCGGCAATATGTCAGCCATATCGTGACTAACCTATAGTAATAGCATGGTTCTTAACTTCTTTTGAGAGGTATACATATGGCGAACACAGATTGTTGAACAGGCCAACTGAAGGCCATTAAACAATTCAACCTAACAATCAACCAAGAACTGCAGATACAACTACAATAACTGCCATGATGTGAAAAACTTTACACACACTGCACAGTTGGCAACAACTGGCCATTTTTCCTTAAATTGACCTTGACCTTTGGTTTCTTCTTTAGCTTAAAAAAAATCCCATCCTAATGAAGGTACATACAAAGATATGATAAATGTATGATTTGGGTTTTCAGTGAGAAGTCATACACACAAACATTTAGTTTTTCTACATTGTGAACCTGGCTTTAAGGTTTTTAAAGACGTGCCACAAGAATTCCCAAGGGTCATATGTACGAAGTCCAGGCAAAAACATCATATCAAGTTTAATTTCAGTTATCTTTTTGTGGAAGCTTATCTGATACACTAAAACATTTTCTTATGTTAGAATACATGACATGAAATCTATACCACACACTCAAATAAATCTTGACCCTCTGCGGAGAGCATACATCTATCTGATACTTGAAAAGACTTGTCTATTTGTCAGCAACATTCAATCACATGTCTGAGTACCACAGCGTTACCGGGATATTGAAAGGTTTCTAAAACCATTATCAGTTAGATGTGATATTTACACCTGACTGAAGCAGATAGAAACCACTCACATAGGTTTAGCCGGAGTGGCGGTGTAAAACAATGTTTTTCCTACAATCAGCAATATTCAGGTTTTATTATTATCGCCAGAAAATGATCACATCAGGGCTAGGCACAACTGTGGCTGATATTGTTATCCGTGTAATGGGATATGATGGAACAGATGCAGCAAGACCACACGCCCAGATAAACTGCGCATTTGTGGAAAATACAAAAAATATACCATTCAAATGAAATATTTTAAAATGCCACAACACAAAAAAACACACATTTAAAATACAAAATAAATGATAGCAATGGAAGACTTAAAATCCAACAGCATAATAATACAGTGTATAAACACCCAGGTAGTTTGTTCAGATTGCATATCTTTACACATCGTTAATCAAATGGAGGCATCACCTCTGCCATTGTCTACATAGACTAGGCTGCACTGTCTTGAAGAATGCACAAAAAGGCTGTCTCCCTTACTGCAACTGTCACATGTATTGCTGTTGTGAGCTTATGTGACAACTAACATACATGATGCAGTTCATGAACAGGAGAAAATTAGAAGATGTCTGCAACTGCATTTTAAGCAGAATTATTTTTCAAAAAAGGCTACTCAGTGGTATTGAAATACCAACTAGACTGGATCCAAGAGAATGAAATGTTATTATTACCTCAAGAAAACTAGCAAATGATGAGTGAGTGAGTTTAGTTTTATGCCGCTTTTAGCAATATTCCAGTAACATCACAGCGAGGGAAACCAGAAATGGGCCTCACACATTGTACCAATGTGGGGAATCAAACCTGGGTCTTCGGCGTGATGAGCGAACGCTTTAACCACTAGGCCACCCGACCGCCCCAACTAGAAATAACTAACTTAAATCATAATACTGATTAAATAAACAGCAGCGAAAAGATCCAGGAGTGAAGTTTTCTGGTGTTTGAGAAAAAAGCAGTCCTATCCCAAGGAACATCAAGAACACTAACAAAAGAACATTAGTCCTCTGCTTCTGCCACCCACACAGCTCCGTAAACTCATCCCATCTTTGTCTCTGAGTCAGAAGAGGTACATGGATCTTCACAGAGGGTGGGGAAGACACCTTCCTTGACTTAGTAAATCTGTTACTAGAGACACCCCTACTTGGGATTCAAGAGTATCTATACCTACCTCTCTTGTAAGAGGACAGCCACCTCCTTAGTGAACTCACTGCCATGCTTGATGTACTTGCGTAGTTCCTCAAATCCGTCATGGCCCTGAAAAAGAGAGAAATATCATTATTTTCTGATAAAACATTACATCTTAAATGAATTCTACAATACCTGATCTTCTTCTGCAACACCTGGTGTCTCCTTGAAGAAAGTTTCAACAATGCTATTGTTTTAACTTCATCTTTTCAAACTGCCTGACGACAGGGTAGACATAGTAGAGTATTTCTAAATCCATCAGTAGATCATGGACTAGAATCTGAAATATTCGGACTGTCTGCAACGTACCTGAGCTGGAGTGTTTTTTAAGTGATTAGCACCTGAAACTTGTGTCATGATACCATGAACCTGACATACCATGACACAATTGTTTGTTGCTTAACACAACCCTCAGCAATAATATTCCAGCTATAATATTACAGTCATTCTGTAAATGTTTGTGTCTGGACCAGATGATCTAGTGATTAATAGTATGAACAGATCACAGCGGTACATTAAACTGTAATGGTATGAGGTTAAATGATTATTATACTGAAAAATATTCTTGCAAATAATGTAACTGCATGTTGAAAATATAAAAGGCAAGGGTTTTTTCCCCACCCATGACGAACATATGAGTGTGAAACAAGGAACCAGTACTTTCTGTATATCTTTTCCTTCAACTCTTTGTAACTTGCTCATTATCTATCTGTCCCAGACTTATCATAGCAGCTTTAGAAAACTTGTCTTTTTAAGACAAATCACTTTAGCTAGCCCTCTTGGAATGAGACAAAACGTTTACATTTTTGTCAGTTTCATTTAGTTCCAATTTGTAGCAAACTTCAAGCTATGAGACCTGGTTCAGGTCCACAGTCTTCAAATGCCACTAGTTAATGAGAACCAGCATCATTACTTTTGTACTTGTCCTTGGCAAACATTTAGTTGTCTTGATATCGCGGACTTGTGTGAATTGAGTGTGAACGCTGCACTAAATGTCCCTTCAACGCAGCCACACTGAACCCAATACAATCAGTTCAAGCATTGTCTGTCAAGTGAATCAGCAATTCCATTGTTCTTTTATGCATAATTTCATATGTTTTTGCCATTTTATTTATGATTCCAAACATTACCCCTCATACTAGTAACAGACTGACTTAAGTCATTAGAAGACTCTCACACGCAGCAGTGGTACAAATCCCACAAGCTGATGCAAACCCTGGAGGTCTTACATGGGCATTGCTTGGATTAGTTAATCTCCTCAGACTTCAAAGGTGTCAAATTTTATGAATATGGTAAATTCTGACTTATCATGAAACATGTACACAGACAGCAAGTCAGGATTAGAGCACGTGGAGGATGGGCTAATGTCCTGATACTCTGCATTGTTGTGTGGAGAACCTACAGGTGACCCTACTTGTGTCCCCTGTTTACAACACTCAGGGACAGTGTATCAAGTTTATGTGCCTCCTTCATCAAAACCAGCCATTCATACCTAGCCCACGGACATATTTATACACTCAACTGCCCGAACACAGACAATATGGACATATATCACAATGTCGTCATGAGCACATGAAATATCAATATTACGCTATTTAATTGAGCCTTCTATTCCGCATAAATGGTGGCTATTTGGGGGCTGTTGGTAATGTATACAACATAATAGGGCATGGATGAGTCTAGATTTACTACCCAGGTACCAAAATATAGCTGGATAGCTGCTACAGGTGTCAAAAGCCTGATCATGAGTTGTTTCTCCAGAGGCTTGGCAGAAACTAGTTACACAGCCGTCTAATTATGCCGACAATCTAAGTAAATGATGCTTCATCTTTACTGAATTATACTGAAGACAGTTTTGGATGATAAAAAGCATCATCACTGATAAAAACAACAAGATTCAGACTGTGAACGTCTTACCGACTAATGTTGATATATTTGAGACACAAACCACCCATTCCTACAAGCTCGCATGAGATGCTCTTGAGTAGACAAGCCCACATGAGGAGTGTAAATGCAGGCTTAACAAGATTAGAAACTATCACTGTATTATAGTGAATGTGATGTCATCTTTACCGTGACATCATCAAAAGATACATATACTCTTCAGAACTGATGTGAGTGAGTGAGTGAGTGAGTGAGTGAGTGAGTGAGTGAGTGAGTGTGAGTGAGTGAAGTTTAGTTTTACCACACTTTTAGAAATATTCCAGCAATGTCACATCCAGGGACACCAGAAATGGGCTTCACACATTGTACCCATTTGGGAATTGAACCCAGGCCTTTGGCATGACAAGCGAACGCTTTAACCACTAGGCTACATCACCACCCCAGAACTGATGTGTTGCCGGAGAAGAACTCCACATGTTTGATGTCAGTGAAACAGATACCAAGTGAATAGAAATCTTATCATTTTCTTATAACATTCACACCTGAAAGTGTCTTCCAGGGTGACATTAAGGAGTGTTATACCACATACAGGCATGTAGTTCTCCCACTGTATCCCAACACTCTTAAACCATTAGGTAATGCCCACCCAATTAAGTTCTCACACTAGTCTACTTATAACAATCCGTATTCACTGTCTGACGGTAATTATCCCCCAAGGCTGTGTAACAATGTAAATGATCCTGTAGATTCAATACCAAATGGCCCTAGGGAGAAACAGTCCCAGCTACAACCAGCGTGACCTGGCCTCACTGCCCAGCTGCAACAACCCTGCTGCCTGTACACAGACTAGACTAACGCTTAGTCTCTGAATATATATCATTTTGATAGTAACAAATAAACCCATTTAAATTGAAAAGGAGCCATAGTGAGATGGGAGATTAACATGAGGAAATGTAGACTTGCTTCATTTAAGGCTTTAGCACTGCAGGGAGGGCTAGGCAGTAGGGCAAATAATGTGGTTCGGAGACTGTGAGACAGACTATACACAGACTGATAACTATCATGAAATACTGAGACTATATCCAATATAATTAACTTGGTCGAAAAGGTTCAGCTTTACATTACAAGGATGAGTGGGTAGATATGGAGAATATTCCCTGTGTCCAGCAATCATCACAGCCATATCACCAACATTCAGTCACAACACAGTTATTGGGCGATGGTGTTAATATACGTCAAGGGTATGACATCTAATGCCACATCCTAGAACAAACAGATCCTTAATATTTTTAATCGGGCACGTAATCAGCTTTCAAATGAATGTTAGTACTGCATTACATTCTCATATCATATTTCCCATCTTTTGTTGTCATCTGCATTGTCACGGTGTGTATTCCACATATCTATACTGGTATTACAGATATGTATTATTTAGTTATACAGTTTTACTTATAAAAGAACTCCCAAGTGTGTAATAAAATATTATCATTGTCCTGACAGCATTACAACATGAACTTTGGAAATGTATTAAATAGCATGTCTGTAGTGTGTAAACTGTAGTCTCTCGTACAGACCCAGAAGCAAATATATCCAAGAAAGTCTAGAAAATGTGGCAAGTCTAGATCTGAAAATGAAGAAAGTCTCAGGGCTCCTTTTCATTATATATATATTTTTTACTATGAACGTTTTTTTCAGTAAAATATGTTCATTTCAGAGACTAGTTGTTAGTGTATCTGTAACTGATGAATACCTGGATGTCACAGATCATGATGTATTGATATACAGCAAGTCTACAGTTGACCACACTACACATGATACACCTACAACAATTCATTTTGTTTACCTGCACATATCCAAAGGGAATATTTACCAGGTTTGCAATATGAGTTCTCTCTATCGTACATCTGTCATGAAACATTAAGATTAACCTGATTTTACCGTTCAAGTCTCAAATCACCAGCTGTGAGAGATAAACACAAACTTGTTAGCCTCATAAAGAGATTATCACACAAAATGGACCTACTGGGGATTCCAGGTTAGCACTGTGCTGGTGGTAACAGGTGACCTAGTAAATGAGGAAGTCGGGCTCAGAGACTTGGTCGATGTAACTGTCACTGGATTGTCTGAAGGCTCGGATCAGTGCTGACAATATCAGTCACTTGATTGTCTGGTCCAGACTGTTTACAGATAATCCGCTAACATGAGTTAGGCATACATGTAAGAAAGTGACTCAAATGACATAGGCAAGAAGGCAACCTGTGACATGCCAGACTTACTTCATCAGTGAAAGTGATGCCATGCACTCGAACAAAATTACTTTCACTAAAAAAAATCAATTTCACAAATCCAGGCAATGAAACCTTGATTAGATGTGAGTAGAATTTCTGTAACTTCATTGCAGTTCTGTGCTTCTGGACAAACCAAATTCACTGACACCCAAATTACAACAATTTTATCAAACTGATGCATGACATCCGGCTGTCTATCCCTGAACTGAATCCAGCATCTTTCAGAAAGGCAACACAAATTGTATATTTGTGTTGGAGGCCAGTCTGCAACCCTGCACGTCAGATCAGCAGTTGTGTCAGCTACACACAATGTACACAAGCTGCAGCAACAGCGGAGTTGACAAACGCGACAATGTCACCGGTGCAAGGGCACAGTAAGCCCAGATCCAACCACCGACTTGAAGAGAGTGCAGAGGGATTAAATCTCAGTCCCACAACTTTTTCTCAAATGCAACATTTGGCAAGCCTTACTCTGGCAAATGAGTACTTTTCAAAGCATTTTGACAGGTTAATTCCCCAGACATGACAAGCTGGGGGGCTGGTAGTTTAACAATCAAATTTAGATAATCGAAAAGTAAATGGTTGATGGGCAAAAAGCTGCAGATTGAAGTTCAGTGTTTCAGCATCATGACTCCAGTTCAGTTTTCAATTTGTCTGGTTAAATTTGGAGGGTGTTGAGAACATCCATGTGGAGGTTGTGCAGTCCTAGACATCAATATTTTACAGTAGCTGGTCTGTGGTATCATTCAATATACAGATTTGCCATGGCTCTCCAACAACAGATACTTGTAGTTCATCACTGTCATGGGGAGGCACGCCGAAGACCCGGGTTCGATTCCCCACATGGGCACAATGTGTTAAGCCCATTTCTGGTGTCCCCTGCCGTGTAAACTAAAC